GATTTGGGACGGGGACGGGGCGGGGGGTGGAAGCATTTGCAAAGGCACCCCGCTGTCTGCCCTCTCTCTTTTTTTTCTGTCGTGCTTGCCGTTAAGTGGGTGATTGAAACCCCTTTGGCGTGTGCGAAGGGAGGATTCGTGCTCAGCACAGCCCTTTGGCCGGGAAAAATAAATAAATAAATAAATAAATAAAGTGTGTCGGTTGGGAGTGGAAAAATGAAGAAACTTGAAACTTTTGAGATGTGCTGGGAAGCTGTTGGCGGGAGCTCCGCTTCCCTCGCCCCTTGGTTTGACGAAGCGGGCTCAGAAAACCCGTGAGGGGATGGATCCCTGCTGGCCCGGTGGGGTGGGTTCCTGATCTTCGCGGCGAAAGGAGACACGGATCTCGTTGCTGCGGTTTTCTGTGCGCGGTTGTGGTGTTTGTGGGAAGGAGCAGACTTTATTACCCCATTTCAGGTTACGATGCGTCCTTGAGGGAAGGAGAAAGTTTGTTTTTGGCTGGCAAGGGAAGTTCATACTCAATCCTCAGCTGATTTTAGCCTTTAACTAAGAGAAGAGGGACTGTTTCCCTCTTGCAAAATGTAAACAAACCTATTAAAACAACAAACTCATTATTTTTCCCACTTGTAGCCGTAGTCACTGGCTTCTGCTTATTCTGAAGCTGTCAGCCGTTGTATAATTGCTGCGATGCTGAGGAAGAAGATAGTTGAAGCAAAGATTGGCACGTTGTCCCCTTTTGCTACCACTTCTGATATGTTGTGAAGGAAAAGCTAGGAGAATGGGGTTCGTTTGGCCTTGGGAAGAGAAGACACCTCCAAGCTTGTGATGGTGAGAGTTTGTGGAGAAATCAGAGGCAGACTGCGGGGTGCATGGTGAAAGGAAACAAGGCAATGACCACGAGTTGCTCAGGACATAAAGAAAAAACTCTTATAAGGACATAAAGAAATATTCTTCCTCCTATGAGCTGTTAAGCACTGAAACCAGTTGCCCAGGGATACTGTAGGGTCTCCATCCTCTGAGATGGTCACAGTTCTCCTGGACAAGGCCCTCAGTGACCTGACTGAGCTGTGAAGCTAGCCCTGCTTTGAGCACGAGCTTGAGCTAGCGCTGGAAGGGACCTCCAGAAGTCCTTTCCAGCCTATTTGTTCCTACAATTGTGTGCAAAGGACATGTATTCTGGACAAGGAGTTACTGTACCAGCATGGTGCAGAAAAGGATTTCTGCCTAAAGAGCTGTTCTGTGGCTATGTGGTGCCACATCAAAAGAAGTATTTGCTATTCAGGAAATAGGCAATAAAAACGTAGAAGGAGAAATGAGTTGCAACTTGTAGTAGTCTCAGAGTGCAATAGGTTTCCCAGGCCAACTTCTTAGTTCATATCGTTAATACTGAGGTTACTTCTTAGTTTATCTAGTTTTATACTAGTTTATCTAGTTTTATACTGAGGTCTACTTACACTGAGGTTTGACTTGATGCTTCTCGCACTGTCATCCAGAGGATTATGTATCTGGGAAAGTAACCAGGTGTATTGTTCATTTAAAGCTATAGGTGGAAGTCCCAGTGTAGGTGTTCTATTTTCAAAGTAGCATTCCTAACTTGCTTTATGCTAGCTAGTAAGCAGTAAAATGTGTCATTGAAGGTTGCCTGTATGAGGGTTGATGTGGATGATTAATTTTTGATTGGAACTATCACAAACCCAACCGATTTTGCTACATTAGTTGCTATCGCAAAGGATATTCTCCAGGTGGAGATGGGGTATTCCTTATGATAACCTAGTAGTTGGACATGGGTGGTGTCACATGACAAAACTGGATGCTTTTTAGCATTATGTCGGATACTTCTATGGGGACTCTGTGTGTGTTTGGTGTGTGTGTAACATTTTCAAGAGCAAAGGGAGGAAGAAACATTGAAGGACAGGATGAAACTAATGCTATGAACCAGGGGCAAAAGCACTATATAGTGTGTTTGTGTGATGTATGGATATATATTCTCCTATTTAAACATAAGGAGTTAGTTTGGGATCCTGAGTGTACCGTTGCAAAGGAAGTGACTGCAGCGCGTCGTAGAACTGACATTGGGAGCTGAACAGAGGTGTGGAAAGGAGGAATTTTCTCAGTATTTTTCTACTAAGTCTTTTTTTAAATTTTTGATAAATACCGTTACTTGATTATGACGGCTGTGCACATAAGTCCAGTTAGATGGTAAAGTACCCACGTTGTGGTGTGTTCTTGCGCTTACGTAAGTGGGATGGTTGAATTTGTTTCCTTCCCTGGGAAAGTCTTGCAGTTGGGATAAGTGAAAGGAGGAATCAACGTGGCATGTTCTTTGTTCCAGGAGGGATTTGATAGTATATCCTCTTTATCCTAGGTGACAGGCTAGTACCAGTTAATTTCATTATCAGGCATAGAGATATTTCCTTCTGTGCTAAGAGAAGGCTGAATTGTGGGGTGCAAAAGTGGTGGCATCAGCAGATATGTGGGCACACTTTTCGGGAGTGTTGGGGAGGATTGTGGTCATGGTTTGCTTGAAAGCTGACAACTCAGGGAGGGGCTGGAGAGAGGTAAAACTTGGTTTGCTGTGCAGGAAATTTAAAACACCTCTGATTTCCTAAAATACTCCTCCTATTGCCTATAGGGAAACATGGGGTCAGAAAGACAGAGTCTTGCTGTGTAGCTGGGACTGGCATAGAAAGGAAGTGTTTAGACTCATGAGGAGCTAGAGAAACTTGTGGAACAGAGGGAGCTTGTGCAGAAAGGAAAAACTTCATCTAGAGAAAATTAAAACCAGGCTTCTGGCACATAAAGGCTTCCCTATGAAAGCTTTTCAGTTTTAACTATTTCTTAAAGGCAGACTGTCAGGCGTGGAAGAGCACACGGTTTGGGATGATGCGTTCTCTTGGGGTGAAGCTGTAAGAATGGTGTCAGGTTGGCAGAATATAATGGAAATGGCAAAGAGTAGTCTAAGCAAATAGTCCTGTATAAATAGGATGCAAAAAAAGGGTGAGTGGATCAAAGATTATGTGTATCTGCAGACCAATCTGAAAAGTGCAATGGGGAACTGGAATGGGTGGCTTGAAATGAGAATGTTGATCCAAGAGGCTTATCAGGCTGACCAGCGAGACCTTCTAATACCCAGGTACAAATTATGTAGGAAAAATCAAATAGCTCACCCCAAGGGAGGAATGGCAGTGTATGTGAAAGAAAGCTTTAGTGTCAAGTCAGGTGCGTTGTGAACTTCTTCAGTAAACGTCATACAATCCATCTGGGCTGTAATAGCTGCGCTAAAGAGAAAAAAGAACCTGATTAGGGTATGGCTGATACGGTAAGGAAAATCAGAGAGGCAGCAAAGATGGGAAAGAACAGCAAAAGGAAGAATTCACTTACCCTCATGTAGGTTGGATCACGCAGCTTGAGGTGTGGTGCTGAGTCTAATTATTTTAGGTGCCACAAATAGCTACTCCGTAGAGTAGCTACTCGGAGAACCCCTGAGAAAAGCAGCAGCCCTTGACTTGATCCTGAGCAGTGCTCAGGATTGGATTCAGATGTTACTTTAAGAGAACCAAACTGTAGCTTCAGTATTTTTGCAGGAATTGCAACAGCCAAAGAAACCACTAATGTGTTTAGTTTCATAAGGGGGAATTATATAAGATGAGAAGGCTCGTTAACTCACATATGAATTAAATATAAAAACCAGAGTGAGGCAGACAAAGAGTTGGAGAAGCAAGTTGGAGGAGGGGTGAAAATGTGCTGAGGCGGGGTGAGCAGAGATGGCTGTAGACTTTGTCGGACTGGTATGATCAAAGGGTAAGAAAGAGCGCCTACTGAAAGTAAGAACATACGTTTAAAAGCCTAACTACTTGTATATATCTATGATATCTATGTTCACTGTGGAGGTGCTTTGGGGGGTTTTACTGGCACATAGTGAGCATATCAGAAACTTTGATGAATGTGATGTATGTCTCCCATACCAGTCTAGGTATGAGGAATGGCATGGTAGTGTATCAGTGGCGGAAAGTGTAGAACTGTTGATAGTGAATCCAGTGCAAATTTTAATTCATGCTAACTCAGTATAGAATAGGGCTATTTTTCTTGCATAGTGGGCTTCTTGATTGATTTGTAGAATAAAATACCAGAGCACTTTGATGTGAAAAACCTGTAGTTAACCTGAATTAGCTGTCAGGCACAGTTCCCCAGAATTTTGGGGACAGCAGTTCTGGGGTCCTCTCAAAAAAGATCTGTGTTTCCTGCTGTTAGCTGAAGTGTGAATACCTTGATTTTTTTTTTTCTTTTTTTAAAGACCACTGTCAATCTTCAGGAATTTTACACAATTGAAATGCTTTATGAAGTGAAATGAATTAACTGTATTCACACAGGATTTGCATTTGCAGTTCATAACATAGGATAGATTTATCTTACTTTTTGCTATGTGACGACAAGAAGGATTTGCCTGGCATAGGTAGGCAAGATGTAGGACCAGTAGCGTTCTATTTTTCTGTGGTTGTTTTGGTATGCTTAGCAGGGGTTAGACACAGGATAGCAAAACTCAAAGAAAGGCTCACCAAAAAATCTTGGAAAAGTTTACAGAGGAATTCTAAAGCTCGGAAGCATTTTAGCCTTTTCTGCCTGACAAGTCATCATTGTGAGTTTCATCCTGTGTAGGCCTGAATTTATGAAATTATTTATGTATTTTTAGGATGCAATATAGATTAGGCTCGCTTCCCTTCCTACCCCCGCCTCCCGGCTTACATGTATGTGGCAAGCTGTAAGAACAGATAACAGTCTTAGATGCACCTTTATTTAAAGTTAGGTATAAAGACCTGAAGCTGCTGTATGGCTATGGAATAAGTAAACATCTTAAACAACTGTATCATGAATTTTAAAAAAGGTTGCATTGGGACATCTGGGATCACAAAATCACAGAATGGTTGAGGTTGGAAGGGACCTCTGGAGATCATTTAGTCCAACTCCCCTGCTCAACCAGGGTCCTCTAGAGCACATTGCCCAGGATCACAGCCAGACGGCTTTTGAATGTCTCCAGCAAAGGAGACTCCACAACCTCTCTGGGCAACCTGTCCCAGTGCTCTGTCACCCTCACAGGAAAGAAGTTTTTTCCTCAGGTTCAGACGGAACTTCCTGTGTTTCACTTTGTGCCCGTTGTTGCCTCTTGTCCTGTCGCTGGGCACCACGGAGAAGAGTCTGGCCCCATCCTCGCAACACCCTCCTTTCACATACTTGTCCACATTGATGAGATCGCCTCTCAATCTTCTCTTCTCCAGGCTGAACAGGCCCAGCTCTCTCAGCCCTTCTGCATAGGAGAGATGCTCCAGTCCCCTCATCATCTTAGTAACCCTCCGCTGGACTCTCTCCAGGAGTGCCATGTGTCTCTGGGCCGGGGTAGCCCAGAATTGGACACAGTAGTGCAGGTGAGGCCTCAGCAGGGCTGCGTAGAGGGGCAGGATCACCTCCCTCGACCTGCTGGCAACACTCTGCCTGATGCAGCCCAGGATCCCCTTGTCCTTCTTGGCCACAAGGGCACATCGCTGGCTCATGCTTAACTTGTCCACCAGGGCTGCCAGGTCCTTCTCTGCAGAGCTGCCTGCCAGCAGGTCAGCCCCCAGCCTACCCTGGCACACGGAGTAATTCCTCCCCAGGTGCAGGACCCTGCAGTTGCCTTTGTGGAACTTCATGAGGTTCCTCTCCGCCCAGCTCTCCAGCCTGTCCAGGTCCCTCTGAATGGCAGCACAGTCTTCTGGTGTGTCAGCCACTCCTCCCAGTTCAGTATCATCAGCAAACTTGTTGAGGGTGCGCTCTGTCCCTTCCTCCAGGTCATCGATGAATACCCTGAACAAGACTGGACCCAGTATTCATCCCTGCGGGACACCGCTAGCCGCGGGTCTGCAACTAGACTCTCTTTTACTGATCACAACTCTCTGATCTTTGCCATCCAGCCAGTTCTCAGTCCACCTCACTGTCCTCTCATCTAGCCTGCACTTCCTGAGCTTGCCCATGAGGATGTTACGGGATTGTTTGGTGAGCTCATGCATTTCCAGAACAGTTAGTAAGGTGTATAGGCTCGTAACCAGAAACGACCATAACACGGAGGCTTAAAGGCTGGAAAGCAGAAAATGAGGTTGTGTCTGCCTAGGAAGAGTTCAGTCTTGCAGATACTTGTGTACAGAAATAACTTGATTCTTTGAAACAGTCCTCACTCTCCACATCCCTCCCATTGTCCCCCTCCCTCCTCCACCCCAAGACTCAGACCCCAAGGCATGTAATTCTGTTCCTACGTATTTTGGTTGATTTTTTTTTTCTTGCTTTACTCCACAAAAGTATTTTGCAGAAGCACTTTTTAGAAGGGATATATATATGACAAAAGAAATTCTATATCTTTATTCACTGATATTATATATCTTTATTCACTGATAGCCTTACTGCAGCACTTTGCTGATTTCAAGAGTTCAAGGTTTCATCAGTTTGAAAAGATCATATTCACTGACGATAAATCTTCAGCCTAGAGATGGCTATAATCACCATTAGAATGATACTTTTAAAAATAAGTGATCATTTGTGTGAGCTAGTTTGGAACACCTCACTTTTCCTTCCCAGTTCCTTCGTGCTACTTTTAAAGGCTGCTGGCCGTCCCTGAAGCCACCAGCAGGTAATGAAATCTCTTACCATTTTCCTCTAAATAACATGCCATTTTCACCTGGACTTTCAAGATAAATGGTTGTTACTGAGGAGGGATGAATTAAATGCCACTTGAAGTGACTTCAGTGCTAATTATATTTTCACCAAGAGGTTCTGCACTTCCTGATTTTCTTCATCTCTCTCTTATGGTAACGTGGCATGATGAAAAGTTATATGGAGTTGATGGGCATGACATACTTAAGATGGAAAACTTGTGTAGTGTTGCATAAGAAACAGAAAAGACATGAGGTTGAAATGACAGAAGTAACTGGAGATAGAAATGCTGCCTTTCTTTCCCTTTTCCCATTTGTGAATTTCTTATGTCTTACAGATTTGTCTATTTATATGAACTGTGCCGTGTATGAATATAGATTTTCCATGTGTTATTGAAAGCTTCCCCCCACCTCCAGCCTGCCAGGAAAATAGGTTGTGCCAGAGACTTCAAAAACTCATGGAAACTGTAACTCTTACTCATTTTTACAGATTTTTTTATAGGAAGAACAGATCAAGATGAAATTCTAGAAGGGAAAGTAATTTTTTTTAATCGCAAAACTTCGGTTGTTCTTTGCAATAGTAAGGAAAGTTTGTTTGTAAGAAAACTATATATGAACTATTTCTTATCAGTAACACTGCCTTCTGTTCCTTATTTTACTAGTTATTGGACAGTCTGCAAAGAGTAAGCATCCAAAAGAACCGGGGGAAAACAGAATTAAGCCTGTCAACAAAAAAGTAAAACCCAAAAGTCCCAAAATGAAGGAGAGAGAATCTGCTGACCCCTCTTCAAAATCCCAGTCCATACTGATGCAGGTGATGGATAAAGGTCGTTTCCAGAAACTAGCTGCCACTTTAAGTCTGTCTGCAGGACAAAGCATAGAACTGCGATGTAAGGGCAGTAATGTTAGTTGGAGCTATCCTTCATACTTAGACACCTTTAAAGACTCCAGACTCAGGTAAGCTATTTTTCATTTTTGGGGGTGGGAAAGAAAAAATCAGAACTTTTTTTTCCCCTGCCAATTACAATACCTCTGTATTTTACTTTTTTTTTTTTTTTTAATGATCAAGATGTTCCACCTAGTGGTAACTAATCTCACTAGCAAAGGATGCTCATCTTTCATAAAGTGATTCGGGTCCTAATCACTCTGTAATATAACTGTATATAGTGTAAAATAAGTTAGGTATGAGCTGGGAAAGAAATACTTAGTGTCTTGCTTACAAGGAGAGTAAACTGTCAGTAAGGTTAAAATCTGTCTGTTACTCGCTGCAGTCTGTAAGTCGTCCCACAGCATGACATTTTTTACTGTAGAGCAGAGCCTGAGTTCTGTTGCTTTCCATTGCTCCGGAAGATGGAAACAGGAGGTATTTTAAACCTTTAGATAGTGTTATAATGTCTCTAATATGAATTAAAAACTTTAACACATACATTTTGAGTTGAATGTATGACTCTACCTGTATTACATGCTATTTTCTGAGTAGGGTAAATGTACCACTTTTTAAATAGTAATTATAAAATAATAAATATTTAAAAGTTGCATAATTTTCACGTCTTAAAAGCTTTGCTGCAATAAAAATACATAGCTTCTTCATGAAGCTCTCCTCTGATGCATTCTCTTCCCCCACTTTCTCTCCACAGAACGCACAGATGTGTTCTGTGAAATTGTATTTTTGCTCCAGGGGGGGAGAAAAAAGTGGCAAGGTAGAAGTCCACTTCCTGGTGGTACTCCAACCCTGCTGAGGAATTAAGTTAATTTCCTTTGGAACTTCCCAATGTGAAACTTCACAAAGATGCTTAAAAGGGTGATCTGGAAACCTCATAACTGGGAGGAGAGTTGCCTCATAGCAATCAATTGAAATGCTCAGTACAAGAATTTGTGAGAAACTCTCTTCTTTGGGGCTTAAGCATTTTACTCTGGGTTGTGTGTGGGTGCGATCTGCAATCTGCCTTGGGTCCAATGGCCTTGAATCTCCTCTTTCAAATAACTGCACGGGATCTACTCTTTTCTTTTTGGGGAAAAGTGATGTCTGCTCCTCTGGCAGCCTGATGTTTAGGACATCTTGCTAAAACAGTTGTGCAGACATGACTTTTGAGTTCAGAGACGGGCATGTGCTTTTGAAGCAAATCTTCCAGACATCTCCAGTTACTGCCCTTTGATTTGCACTTTGGAATGGTCATTTAGCATGTGAACTGGACTCCCTGCAAGTGAGTCTAAAATAGGAGAAGTGGTCCAAGGGGACGAGAGTGTGCTCTAGCCACTAACAGGGAACCATATTAGAGCTAGTCTGAAGCAAAACTCTCAAAACCTGTGTAGTGTGGATGTCACATATTCGCTGCTAGTTATGTTGTTCTCCAGAGACCTACTCTTTTGGGCTGTATTAGTTGGTAATGTGGATGTCACCTGAGATACCAATGTTAATTTCCTGCAGAAGTTCAAACTCGCATCTCTCAAATTGCAAGAGAATACACCAACCCCCATGCTAAGCAGCAAGTGAGGGTGTTCTTCACCTTTCCGATCAAAATTACCTTTATGTGCAAAGAGATTGCGAGGTTCACAGTGCAGAAGGAAGGACGATGAGAGGAGCGTGACAAAGTTTAGTGCTGAGGACAGTCACCTTGGGTTTAGGAAGGCTTTTTCTTTTATCTAGTGACATCTTAATGGAAACTGCATAAATAGCTGTTAGAACAGGAAGAGGAACTGAGGACTTTCTCCCTCTCTGTCCCACTGGGTGAGTTGCTCTAAATATCTTTTCCACAAACTATACATTTGTTGGCCTTCTCAGTTCTCGAACGCAGTATGCCTAGCTAAATGTGGATTGAATATACTAATTTAGTTTTTTATTTGAAAGGAGAAGGACATTTAAGGAGTTTAAGCGTGTTTTCCACAGGCACATTTTTGCCAGTAGAGCTTGTTTTCACTGGCGATTTTATGGAGATTTGTGTGTCTGTGAAAGAGAAATAGTCAGGAGAGTGAGGAAGTACCAAGCGCTGCGAGCAATATCCTAAGAAAGACCCATAGGGAGCTTTTCTTGGATTATTAGGTGAGAGCGGCATAGAGTTTATGAGCAAAGGTACCAACCCTTGTTGTCCTTTTGTTCCTAAATTAAGCAAAAGTTTGTACGCTGTTTGTAAAAGTGACTAAGATTATCTGCATCTCTGCGGTCCATTTCACTTCCTTACAGCCATGATGCTGTATTAAAATCTCTACCAGTTAGTTAATTTTTCAGGTATGTTCTTCTCCATGCTACCTGCCTTTTCAAAGAATAGGGTTGAAGATTAATAGTCATGTATCCTGTGATCTCCTCTGTGAGTGGTGTATCCTTTGGAAATGCTGGAGCTGATTCTTCTGTAAGTGTATGATGTTTGCTAAAAAGTTCAAGAACTACACTGGCTGAATAAATCTCTTTATAGCTAATGCAAGACTTCTGTTATAGTAAGAGCAACAAATCTATTTCTGTTGAGGGCTTATAGCAGCAATATCTCCTGGAAGATCCTGTGGCTGATTTAAACAATTACTCTAGTTTCTTTTGCAATAAATAAAATTTTATCTGGATTTAGTCCAGTAGATGGCGTATATCAGCCGCAATAGGGATCTGACCTTCCCAGTATATCAAAGTTGACTGCCAAATTGTATCAAAAGAGAGCGTGTGGGGGGGAAGGTTGTTTGGGAGGATTTTTTTTTTAGGTAGGTGTTATACTTTCTGCATTTGCAAATATGTTGCTGCCATGATTCGGATTATATATATATGGTTCTGTACACCTCCAAGTAATGTTATCTGAATATTAGCAACCCATACTAAAGAGGGCAAGGCAAACATTCTCAATTTTTAGAGAAGAGTCTGAAGTCTGACTCTCTATTCCTATCTTGTAAAATTAAGTACTCTTCTCTTCTAGTATGCAAATGGGATAAAATAGAAGAACTTAAGGTAATTTGGGGTAAAAGATGTGCCTTTCTGAATTTTTATGGGGTTTGTTAGTCTGGGGTTCTGTTGCGTTATCTGTTGCCGTGGATTTCCAAGCCAGTCTTGCTGTATTTGGGACACTGAAGTGGCAGAAGCCACAGAAGTGGCAGTAGCAGGGGGAAGTGGTTGTGATCTGAAGAGGTACTGGAAAGTGAAGAGGCAGCAGGGAGGAGGAGGAAGCAGATTTCCTGGTCACAGGATGCGTGAGGAGGAGAGGCAGTGCAACAAGGCTTATACGCTTTTGCTGGGGACTAATGACTAGCATTCTTTCTTTCATTCATTTGTGCATTCCTACAATAGTCAATGCGAGGGCATTTAATTGTTGCTTTTCCTTAAATAGGAAGGACGTATACTTTCAGCTGGTCTGCTGTGAATAGTAACAAATTTTTAGGAAAATCATGAAACACTTTGCTTCTTGGGTTTTTTTTTTTGTTTGTTTGTTTGTTTGTTTTTTTACATCTCCTGAGAGCTAGCTACTGCTAGAGGAGGCTTTAAGGCCCCTGGCATCTACTAGAACTGCAATTATGGGAGGGAGGGGAAACTATGGTTCAGGGTGGAGGTGTAGATTGAAAGGGGGAGTTTTTGGCTGTCTCTTCTGTTTAGCCAGAGGAGGAGTCCTCTCTTTCCACTCTCCAAACTGGAGAAAATACCAGTGTTCAGTAAAATGATATACACAGCTTTGGAGACTGTAGCATGCAATGCAGCTCTGGGCAGAAAGCTAGAATTGTGTAAACTCGGCTATAATAAGTTAAGGGCACACACCAGCTTGCTTCAGGACTAACTCGCTATCTCTAATGCTCTCTTGCATCGTGCAGCATAAATATGCCCTCAAGATACCTTTTTGTTTCTGAATTTTTTGTGCTGGCTGAAAAGAATAGCCAGAAATCGTGGAGTCCTTAACTGTCCGGGGTAGCGAGTGCATATCCAGAGCGCAAGGACAGGAATGCTGTTTCCTCACTCTGTACATAAACAAATTAATGACTGTAGGCTCACCCCGAAACTAGATCCACAGTGTGGAAGGATCAAAAACTGAGAGGAGTGAAAGAAAAATAAGGGCAGGCACTTTTTGCCTTTCAATGCTTTTTAGCAGTTCATGTTCTAGACGAAAACAGTCTTAACTCCACAGAGCCTCTGCTCTGCCTGACTTGGAACGGCTGCGTTTGTCACAGAACTTTGGCTGACAAATCCACTTACACAGAGTGGACCTGCTCCAGTGGAAAGGGCTGAGGGAAAGAAGTGGACACACACAGTGCATGTACGTGACTGGTGTGTGGACAGAAGCACGTTCAGATCCCCACAGAACTGAGTACACTGTGGGTGTTGTACAGCGCAAAATTAGACGGCTTTGAACGGACACAGGCTCCTGTTGCCTTAGCGGGATGTTGTTTGTGCTCATGTTTATGCCTGAATTTTGTTTTGTTCCCATATATTCTGAAGTTTGAAAACTAAGAGTTGTTTTTTTTTGTGTTAAACAGTAAAATGTTATATTCCTCTTCCAGTGAGCTTTTATTTAAGCTAGGCTCCCTTGTATCAGTATGAGTGCAGCTGATCGAGGGGTTTGCTAGATACTCTTAAGTGACGTTATGCATAAAATCTTTTTGCCTTGTTATATCTTTTTCTAGCTTCTAAATTTGGCATAGTTTTTCTGGCAGAGATCTTTTGGACTTAAAATACAGAGATCTTAATAACTAAAGCTTAATAAGAGGAATATATGGGATAGGATTTTGAAGTAGCTTACTAGTTTCTTTAAACAATCTTGAAATGCTTTGGCATACAAAACCTTTACTTAGTGATACATAGAACTTAGCAAAGTTTTAGCTTTTGAGTTGGATTTCCCAGCCTCTAAAAAGACGAATGAAATGAAAGTTGTACCATTTCTGATTTACTTTATGTAGTCTATTTTGTCCGCTTAATGCGGTCATCACGAGTCTCAGCACTTGCAGTCTTTCAATTGCTAGGCTTTGTTAGGGCGTGTTTGTGGATGACTACCTCACTGGGCAGTTTCCATTGATTACTGGATAGATTGTTCTCAGTTAAGTAGAACACACTGTACAATAATTAATTAACTTTGACCTTATTTTTGTCTGTTGAGAATTCAGGCTATACTTCAATGTCTGCATTTACCGTTGGAGGCCGAAATGTTCTAGCATAATGGTTTCTCTGTAGTGCTGACATTTAGTACTGGATACTTGCAAAGCATCGTATGCCAGTGTAGTCATGTAGCCCATGAAATGTGAACTCTGAAGCTAAATAATAGTACTAAGACGGATGAGGACACGTTTTGGATTTCTCTCCTCTTCCCTGTTTGGTGTGATGCACAACAGGCTCTCTCTCTTGCGTGATTACGAATTTGTTGAAGTGTATTCAAAAATTGAAAAGAATTTATTATGTAAGCTAGTGCATATATTAAAAATGAAAAATGTTATTATTCCATAATTGCATGATTACAAGAACTGGAATCAGATGAGGTCATATAGGAGAAGTCGATTAGCGGATAGGAAACGTGATTTGCTTATTTCCTTAGGCAGGTCTATAAACTGCTCAGTGGTGGAAGAGTGTACTTACAGTGCCTGAAGGCTTTCATGGAAAAGATCATTCTCAGTTAGCCCTGTTTGGGTTGTGCACTTGGTGTGTTTTTAATTGCTAAGCTACTGGCCTTGGCTGGAGGCTGAGCATTGGGTTACACGAACCTTTGCTTGTGCTTGCTGGTGGTAGTGCAAACTACTGGCAGAACATTTGGGAAAGGTCAGAAGTGTCAGGCTATGCATATAACGGAAAGCAATGGCCTCTCTATTTAAAAAAAAAAAAAAAAAAAAAAAAAAGCATGTGAGCAGTTAGTGGGAGACTGCCTGCAATGGAGACATAAGCAAAACAAGAACATTGAGAGCATACCATACAGTCAGGCATGTCTATAGTAACGCTGCTAAAGAGTAACAAGGTGTTTTAGAGGATCAGAATTTCTTGAAAATGTTTTAATCCCCAAAATAAATGATTCAGTCAGTCTTGTATCTGCCTTACAGAGTACCTACTGCATTAATAAACAGGAGCATATAATAAATAGAGAACCCATGGCGGAAGAAGCAGCATGATAGCTGTTTAGAATTCATGCAGGCTGCATATTTGTCAAGACCCAGTTCAAACCACTGAAGAGGAATTCACTATCAAGTGCCTCACACCGGAAAAATCTTTCTGGATTTAGTCACAACAGAAATGGCCTTAGAACTTGGTGGCAGGGATCCTGGGAGATGTTCTTGCAAAGGAAAACAAGAACGCTTCACGTTCTGGATGTACTACTGTGTAAAGACAGAAGGTGGCAAATAATGTTTTTAAGGGTCAGAGCAGCAGAATATATCAGTATCGCCACAGTGTTATCCTGAGAGGATCTGCTGAGAACTGGCGCCGTTGCACTGATGCTTTTGCAATCCATCAGAAGGCAGCATAGGAGATGTTGCTAACTGTAACACCATCTGCGTACAAGAAAGAGCCAGGAAAGCAAGCCCAAAAATAAATAAGAAGAAGATGAGATTGTGGCTTTTGGATTTTATGGATAAAACCTTTGATCCTTAGAAACACTATCAACATAAACATATAAATTGGTTTACAAATTTAAATCCACTGAGAGACATGCATAGGAAATTTGGGGAAAGAGAAAATAACAAATCAAGTTCCTGAAATAACAACATATAGGCTGAATTTTACAGAGTTTACCTCACAGCCATTACACCTGAAACAGTTCTTAATATCGTGTTCTAAAATACCCTTGGAATGAAGGGAAAACTACAGTTATTGGTTTCCAGTGAGATGGCTTAGGGCAGGAGAGGAGCCAGTGCCAAAATTGGTTACTTGCAGAACAAAAGCTGGCCGAAGCTGAAGTAGAAGTTCCGAATGGTGGTGTTTGCAAGTGAAAAGCTGGGCCAGTGTGTTAAGGATAGGAAAGCCCTCATGCTGAAAACAGGCATAAATCATTACATAAGTGCTTTTTAAAGTGCTGCTAATAGCCCTGTAGTATCTCCGCTATATGCTATTATACTATTGAAACAGGGCTACACTTGAAGTAAACAGAATCAAAAAGAGACCGAGATGCATGCAGGTTGACCTGGAGTGTGAACGTACCGGAGGTATGTGGACAAAATGTAGATGAATATATTGTCTGTGGCAGTCACAGCCTAGCTTCAAAGCAAGGGCTGGAAGGAACCCAAAAACAAAGGGTACAAGACAAAGTTGCACAAGCTCTCGTGCAGGTCATTGAAGTCAATTAAACTACTCATATATGCAAGGCTTTGCTGGATCAAAAGGGGAAGTTAAAAACATAGCTGTGAAGGAAAAAGATATGGCAGTTGCAGAATAGGAATAAAAAAAATCTTGAGTAAGTAGAAGTGATCTAAGAAAAATGTGTAAGGAAACACACCTACGCTCATCTTGTGCCTTCTTATTTTGTTTTGTTTTCCTCCCCAGTATAAAGCAGCTTGACAAGTATGGGCAGCTGATCCTTACAAACTCCACTGCAGCAGACACAGGTGAATATAGCTGCTGGCTTCAGCTATGCAATGGTAACAAATGCAGGAAGGATGAGACTAAAACAGGTTCAACATACATCTTTTTCACAGGTAATTAACTCATTTGGGGATTATTAATGGAAATATATTTGCTAGTAAGACAGGAATAAATCTACATCAGATCTTTCACTGTCAATATTTTTTTTCCCCCACAATTTTCATCTTTTTTTTAGTAGATGTTAAGGGAGACAGTGCTGGTGAAATGAGCAGAAAATTACTTACTCAGTGTGATTTATGAGTCTGTTTTCCCTATGGATTATGCTAAATACTTACCCTAAATAATGCATAATGCAATGGAAAGCAAATGCCTTTGAAAGTGCTGACGTACATTCTGAAAATCATCTACAAAATGAATCCACAGAAGGTTTAATTTTTGAAAATGTGTCTTGATAAAATAAGTCTATGCAGAAGATTCATTCTGTTGTGGCATTACGGTGTCCACACGGGTTTCCATGTTGTCATGTCTTCCTCCCCTCTCTCCCCAGTTACCTGCAGTACATTCAAAATCTTGACATTGATCTCAGCAGGGCCACAGTTTCTCCTAAGAGTCTATGTACTATGTTGAGAGGTAAAACAGTCTAAATACTTGTATTGTCCTACAGAGCATGAGGTTGACTGTAGTCCTAACACTACCTGGATAGGTCATAGTAGATAACCATGCACAGTTTACTGCTACTTGGTAAAACAGAGCTGAAATGAAACAGTTAATTTTTTCTTCTCATGGAAAACGTTATAAATGGTGAAACCACCTTTGCTGCCTGATTAGAGCCAAAGCATTCTTGGCTAGCAAATGTTTCAGTACAAAATGCTAAGATAGGATTGTTAGCAATAAGTTTTGGAGATAATTTAGAGTCATGAGACTGTACAGAAGCCATTTATCAGAAGCACTTAATGTTCCAAGGATACATTCCTTCAGAAAGATTGGAATAAACATTTCAATCAAGCTATGTTCATGCTAGAAAGAGGAATTTAAGCATTGTATTTATAAGCAACATGCCAAATACGAAAATACTCTTTAATGGTCAGTCTAAAAGCACTATATATTTCAACTATTTACCAGTGCAGGCTATAGTTTCAAATAATTTCTCTCTAGCAGTGCTTATTTTACCAGTCTCCCTCACATGCAGAGACACACAGGCAGAGGGAAACTGTTTAAAAGTGGGTGAGTGAACAGAAGTAGATCCAGATGAGTATTTGGATACATACAAGGGAATTCCAGAGATTTTAACATTAAGAGATTAGACTACAATGAAGACTACCTTGATTTGTTTTTTGATTTAGTGTTTTTAATCCAACCTATGGAAATATACACTCTCAAGTTAGAAAAGCATTTGTGTGTGCATATTTAAAGCAAAAAAGCTTTGGGTTCATTTTAAATGTTACTTACAGAAAAACCTGTCATAAATAGTTTAACAGAAAGAAGAGAAAATAGTTAAAATAATATTTATGTCTTATGTCAACTCTCTTGCATAGATAAAGGGGAACTTTTTGTACCTACGCCCGGTTATTTTGAGATTGTCTACCTGAACCCAGATAAACCTGCAGTCATCCCATGCCGTGTTACTACTCCTTCAGCAAAAGTAACTCTACACAGGGAATTTCCAGCAGAAGAAATTAAAACAGATGGAATTAACATTATTTATGATGTGAAGAAGGGTTTTGTCTACCAGCACCCTACTTCTGATCATAAAGGTATTGTCTACTGCAAAGCAGAGTCACAGGGAGCACCTCAGATTTCCATCAAGTACCATCTACTGTATGTGGAAGGTAGGATGGAGTTTTCCATGCACTTATACTGGTTACTGTTTCTTCTGCTGAGGTTATTTAGAAAACAAATTTTGAAAAGAAATTTGTGAAATAAGTTAATGTAATCAGAGTTTAAAAATCTTGATATGTGATAAAACTTTGTAGGTATAGATTCAGCAAGTTCCTGGTTGGAGGTGGGGGAAGGAGTTCCACTTACGCACTTATGTATTGCATAAGGAATGCACTTATGTATTGCATTAAACACACTGAGGCAAAAATTGCCTCGTGATTATGTTTTATCAATATATTTTATTTTGGAATCTAATTTCCTGCTTCCCACCACTGTCTTTCAATCAGTTCCCAAGGGCCCACCTTCAACCACAATTGCGGCATCATCCAATAGAGCAGAAGTCAGTGACAGCATTAATGTAATCTGCACAGTCCTTGGGGAGCCAGATGTAGATGTGAACTTCAGTTGGCAGTACCCAGGGCAACAGGTAAGAGATATCTTCCTTGATTGATGTACTTTGTTCTTCATAAATGCAATACTTTGAATGCCATTCAGTGTCTAGATTTGGAACAGAGATTCTTTCAAATTGCAGTGTCTGCCTCCTGCTAGCTCAGGCATGCTTGACAGGAGGAGGCAGCACATCTCTTTTCAACTTCAGCCTGTCTGTTCCTGAGAGCACAGACGTATCACAGAAATGAAGCTTACAACTGGAGAGCTCTGTCCATGTTAGCAAAAATCAAGCTCTGCAAAGCTCGCTCTTCCCTCAGGTTTCCATTCCAGAGACTTGGCCTCTGGCCGCAGTTCCAAAAGGAAAGCCTCAGACAGGACCTTGAGGGATCTCATGTGTTCCTCTTGTTGGCCCTCCTGAGGCTTTGTTGTCAAAGGATGACGCAGAACTCAGCGATGAGGTGGTAATATCTGCACTGGTGTCCTTGAGCTAGCATAGAGTGTAGTAGTCTAACAGTGGAGGTAATCGTTGAGAGTGATTGAACAGAGTTCAGTACCTACCTGGCTTGACAAAATTGAAATCTAAGCCCTGGAAGTTTGCTGTGGCCAGTAAAGTAGAAACTGTAGCGTGCTCTCTCTCATGGGAAGGTGCGTGACTTTTGAGGAAAAAAAAGAGTGAGAACAAGCGAGCGCAAATGGGATTTGAACTGTTGGCTAGGGCACTAGGCATGCAGAACCAAATTTCTAGTTCTTGCTGAGATGTTAGTTTATTCCTTTATGTGGATTCCTCCCCAGAACAATTTTTTTGCTGCTCAGTGTTGTGAGTTTTCCTGGTGAGACTACTGAAGTTGGAGGGTTAGTGAGCAGTTAATTACCAACTTCCTCTCCCTGCCCAGTCCTGCTCTTTAAATGAGGGCAGTCCCAAATGCATTTGGTGATGGGCCTGGTACCAACAGCATTAGATGAGCTGGAGAGTAACTACCAGATGGAGCTCAGAAAGGGGTTGGCAGAAGGCTTCCTGTTTCTGGAGTGTGTTTGAAGATAGGAAGAAGAGAGGCAGAAGTCTAAATAACACGACAAACTTGCAGCTGTCTCTGGAGTAAAGTGCTAGGTAAAGTCGAAGTGTCTTTAGGTTTGGGGACTGCTAAACAGTAGTTTATTTGACTTAAATGCTCAGTGTCTTCCTCTGGATTTAGCCCATAGTGTAGAGCATAAACAAATGCCAAATCCTTTGCCTTCAAGGAAGGGCTTAAACTCTGACAGCCTTCATAATGAGTCACTCTGTTGGGTGGGGAGGTGGGCCCTAGGCCCTAGGAAGAAAGACCCCCTGCTGGTCACATTAGCGTTGTTGTTGTTGTTGTTGTTGTTGTTGTTGTTGTTGTTGTTTTTAACACTCCCCTTGATACCCTGCAGTGTAGTAGTTGGCTATACAAACCCCAGTTTAAAGTTTTATGCAACTCACGGTAACTGCTGAGTATAAACAACTGAAGGAATTGATTTCTAGACTCAGCCTGTCCTTCAAAAACGCTTTATCTTATTAGTGTCCACACCTCACTGCTTTTGCATCTTTCACTCTTGCATAGTTCCCCCCAAGTATGGTTGCTGGCTCTTTTTGGCCCAGTTGCTTCCAGTGATCTGGTGCACTAAACTACGGTTACTCCTCTCCTCACCAGCACTGACTGAATATAAGCTGCTATACACATGGACGTTATCTCCCTTGTTTGCCAAGGATACTGCATCTAGTGCAGGGCAGGCCACGTACACTATCAGCAGAGGGCTACACCCTTCCAGCAAACCCAGCTACAGGCGTTGAGAGAGACTCTGGCCTCTGGCCTGCATCTGCCTTTCAGCCAAGTAAGGGCTGATGTGCTCATTCACCAGAGTAAACAGTCGCATAGCTCCAGCTGTGCCTAGGGATAGGGAGGGAAGAGGCTTGTTTGGGTTTCTGCACCAACAAAATGCTTAAGTAAATGCCAGAGTAGCACTGCATGCTTGTTGCCGAGTTTAACATTTAGTAAAACGTAGTCACTTATTGCAAAGGAATTACTTTGAGAAGATTCCTCATTTTTATTCCCCTGTAGAGCCTCTCTTGAGAAACAAGTCCCTACCATAACTGGTTAGGGGGGGTGGATGGAGGAGAGAGAGGAAAATCAGTCATGCTGATCACACTTATCTTTGTCTGTGCAAGAAAAAAAAAAAAAAACCCTACTGAACTTTTCAGATTCATTGGATGCTTCTGTTGTATTGTGTTGTATTGTGCAAGGGAGATCAGGGCTAGGTTGTTTTTTTTCTTTTTTTTCCCTTCTCTCCACGCAGAACTTGGACTGATACCTACCACTTAACACCTGAACAGAAGAAGCATTTCATCTCTGCTTGCTGCTAAATACACTGTATTGTAAAGACCCTCATTTCATCTTGTCTTCACCTCTCCCCTTATTTTTTAACTTAGATTTCCCCACCACCCCCCCAACTCCCTGATAACTGCATTTGCTCATTCACCTGCTGAGAATACATACGGATCCATTTATTAATATGCTTCCCGGTCTTCAAAGTAGAAGGCAATTAGTTTGAAGAAAAACTGTACTACTAGAAACACAGCCAGGCAGATGATATCTGCCTTACATGGCATTTACCTCTCCTTTATTAGTGTGAGGGCAGTTCCACTTTTGATATATTTTAAAAAACCAACTGATTTAGGCTTGAATTTAAGCATGGGGTGGTACTTCATTACAGTTGAATGTCAGCTGGGAACAGGAGCTAGTGCTCTGCTTAATGACCTGATTCCTTCTAAAGGGATGAAAATTTGTGCAAGACATTACTGGTTTGAGTTTTTTTTAAAAAAAAAAAAAAAAAAAAAGGTTATTGCTCACTGTAAACATTTACCACCTACTAGATGTGGCCTGACTACACTGACTCACCTGGAAGCATGAACAGGATGGGCAGCTTTCCCTGTACCTGGGCCCTTTTGCAAGTGCAAGATTGTAGCCTCAGCTCTAGATAAATGTTTAACTTACCTTTTGCAGCTATTACCTTAAACCTTGCAGCATTCATAGTGGTAAATAGCGAATACGTGTATTTCATACAGCAAGACAAGGTGGTTTCCAAGCAGAAACCACTTTATCTTACCAGTTTTATCCAGGTTATGAGTGTACCAAAAGCCAGCATGATTAAAGGTACTGAATGGCAAGATGGATTTTGGAAGGAAAGCCTGCCTTAGTCTACCTTTGGAGCAGTTTCAGCTGGTCCTTTGCAAGCCAGGGAGTGTTATAAGAAAAATCCTGTTATCATCATTAATGTTTAGACAGAGCATTCGTGTTTGTATTTTTGGCTTTGATATTTTAGATACGTTTTGGAAAGCACAGTAGGAAGAGCAATTTAATAGTAAGGACTGATTTAGACGTACATATGAATTGTGACTCTTTGCTTATATGTTATCTAACACAGCATTTCTGAAACTAGAGACAGACAAATTACTATAACAAACATGATTTAAAGCTACTGTCTGTGCTAAAAGAGCACTAGGCAAAGCTTGCTCACCTAACTTATGCCCCTGCAACCTTCCTTTTGTAGACATGCTGAGTGTTTGAAAACGAGCTCGCACATCTCTTCTGATACATCCCCAAGATACCTTACCTGTTTGATCAAATACACAAAAACAAGACAACAAGTGAACCACATTTGGCTCATTTGCATATTCGGGCAGTTTGGGCACCCCCTCCCCCTGCCCCTTAGATCAATGTGGCAACTCAGAAAGATTAAAGATTCCTAGTACCTGCACTTAAGAGTGGAAGAGCCATTATATTATCCTTATTTGGCATATTATTGATATGTAAATACTTAATACAGGAACATTGCTATAGCTGCCTTCAGCTTCCTCACTTAAGCCTTTCAGATGTAGACTGCTACTATCTGAGCTCTCGCTTCGGGGTTTGATATGACAGCGTTGCTAAATAGTGTTTGCAGAATCACATACTTCCTTATGTGGGTGTCTTTTTTTTTTTTAAACAGTCTGAGAGGCCTGTGATTATCCAAAACTTCTGGAGACTGATCAACAGAGGAACTGGCCATACCACAAGAATCTCAAAGAGTGTTATTGTTATTGAAGATTTTGAAGCAAGAGATGCTGGGAACTACATTTGTATAGCTCAGAACCTACAAGGAGAAACAACAGTAGCTACTAAAATTGAACTAAACTGATAGGAAAGACTTCTGGACACAGAATGAATTGTCAGCATGTTATTTGACACTTTAGCCATTTAGTTTTTTATTAATGTTTAAATGAAGTTTTTTTATCACTGCTCCTTTTCATACATCAATGCATTCCATTTGTACTAGCTGGACAGGCCAAAGTAGAGTGCCTTATGCTTGGCAGTAGTCAGCTATGAGATAAAACTCCTATAAGTAAGTATTAAACTTTAAGCCTGAACGTGCATGTGGCTCATTATATTTAGGAATAGGTGCTCTTAGGCTTTCCTTTGCATATAGTCTTTTCCTCAGTCTTTCACAACATTAACCTGCTGTGGGATTTGTGCCTTTTTGTGTGTTTGTGAAAACTGAGAAGACATGTAATGACTTCAACAATCCAGCAGTGCAGGTATCTCTTTTCTGGTGCTGTGCAATTTTAAACTGTAAAGTACTGTACATGTTAAAAGTTACTCTATTAGCCAATAGCAATGTTTATTTTGTAAGAATAATTAAATTTCTGAACATTCTAAAAAATGTGTGTGTGTATGTGCATGCAGGTGTGCATATATACTTTTTAATGTAAGACACAGACACGAAGAAAATTCTCTGTCTTAGAGAAGATCAGTCGTTAATATATATTAAGGTGGTAGAAGGTGTATCTCGAGGGACATGTAAGGGATAGGGTATGTTGGATTTTTCTTACGTTACTGCATTCTTACCACTTTTTATAATACATAGTTTACTCACAGCTAGCTTCTCAATAGCACATGTCTCATAATTCCTAGTTGCTAAAGATAAAACTTGTATTTATTTATATGGTACTATTTACAGAAGAAAAAACAAACATAACATGACTAGAATACTGAATGATTATACAGCAGAATCTTTTCTCAGGTTTAATAACAAGTTCAACTTGATTGTATTAATTTACTTAGGAGAAAAGGAAAGATGTTTCATTTACACAAAACTAGATCTGGATTAAAAAAAAGCACCTGCTTCGCTCACCGTGGATTTAGTTACCAGTACAAGGAAAAGACTTCCTAGCAAAAAGGTAAGAGAACTTTCTGATCCCAGCACTGTGACATGTCAGCCATGGTTTTCTTTCCTAGGGCTCAAGCACAGAATCCACCATTCCAGTACAAAATTACTCAGCAGTGTAAGTCTAAGTGACAAAAATTGTAATGCAAGCCGGTTTAGTTACAAGGGATATAAACCCCAGCTTACTCAGAGTGCATGAAGAACCGAACCAGATACCAGTCCTTGCTTACACCCTTGTGTGTCAGCCCATCTTTGACTGGAACTTCTAAAGCTTTCTTCAGAGCTGGCTTGGAATAATCCTCCTGCTCAAGATAATTCAAACTTTTGAGCAGTTGGATACAGGACTATTTTGTGGAGTGATAGCTAGTAACGTATTGTTAATGTAAAAAAATTGCCGCTTATCATAATATCATTAACCTAATTATCAGTGTAGCCAATGATAGGATTAAACAAGCTTGCTGAAAGTGTATTGTTTTAGGTTCCTTCACTCTAAAGTAATATAATGGATATGCTCAATGTCAGTAATAAGACTGAAATGGCTATGCATGTCTCATTAAATATGCTTCATAGCGAAAACTCCCTAGTTGCCAGAAATATTTTTGGCCTCTGGAAATAAGGTAGCTCAAAAAAAAAAAAGGTATAGCAATAGGACGAACTTAGGCCACAAAAGAGGCAGTCCCTTGATAAGGCTGTAATAGTAATAAGAGAAAAGGTTAACAAAGCATGCTGTATTGTTATCTAAATGACTGAAGAGGTGGAATATAATTTATATAATAGCTAACTAAGAACTGCCTACATTTTTTTTTCTGGGCAAGACTTAAATCTGATAGAATAACTCTGACAATCCCTGGGCTTCTGGATGAGGCTGTACCATGTGTTTATTACTTTTTAGCCTTTTCATTTATCAGAATAGTGGTTCTCCCTTTGAAGCACAGGAGATGTGCCAACTTCTTAAATTTCAAAGTGTTTTTGAGCCTTTAATTGGACAATTAATTTCTTTAAAACATCTAGCAACTGGAAGATAATGTCACCTATCACACCACAGCAATTCATGTGGTAGCATCACTTCCTTGACAACAGTTTCGCAGAAGGGGAAAAGACAATGTAAATCCATTGGTGTATCATTCCTCCGGTCGTCTCCCTCGTGTAATAGTTATGCTTAGTGATCACATGCAGTTCTTAAGACTAAATACCTCATTCTCAAGGCATAATTTTTTGCATGTTTTTTCCTGCAAACAGTGAAATAATCCTCATCTTTGCAAATTAAAAACACGGTTCGTTCTTTAACTCCCAAGAGCCTTATGGGCAGGTCTGAGTTCTCTTGCCTCGATGCAAATACCACAGAAATTAATGGTGAGATAGGGTAGGACAGTGAAACTTGAGGTAAGAAATCTAAATGATCCATCGAAGTCACATGCCTAGATTTACCAGTATTGTTAGTTCTACTTCTGTATCTGTCACCTCTCTGCTAAGGCAAGGCAGCATCAATGCACTGAAGGTCTTGCTTAATCATATGGGTTTGATGATTATTCCAAATTTCTGATAACTGTTTTAATGCCAGCCCAGCCCTAAAGGATTTCCTGGTTGTCAGGCTACTGTAGCTTTAAAATCAATGGTAACCTACTGTCTAGAAGGAGTTTTCCTGTTGAATTGCATATTACTTATTTACATGCAAGCGTCTTTCGTATTTATCGTAAGAAAAATCTTCAATTAACACATGGAAATGATTCATCTCAAAATTTACTGCAAGCATAGTAACTACAAAACAAAGACCTTCAGAGCAAAAAATACTGAAATTACACTAACCTTGCAATACCATGTTATTAATTAGTTTGAATGACTACAAACTAATCAGCATAGATGCAAATGTCACTGTAACTTCCTTTGAAACTTACTTACCATTAGAGATGGGAACTATAGTTAGAGTATCTGAATAGAGTATAATTGCTAAGCTAACACTAGACCTTTGGAACACATTTACAGTGGAGCAGGTTTCTACCTTTTCCTGACAGAAGCTTCACGCTGAAGACATTACCAAAAAATTCTGTGAAATTTACTGGACCAGAAAGAGATACCATATTATTAACAGAGGCTTTACTAAAGCACAAGTATTAATCACCAGCTGACTACAGAGAAATATTCAAATAGTGCTCATAGACTATTTAATTCTTTTTGACCAACAGGACAAACACTAAACAGGTATTTCTAGAGTTTATTTTCTATATACAGTAATTCTCCCTATTTCTTTTTAAGGGCATTACAGGTTTTACTTTCAAGAGGTTTAGAGGTGAGAAGTCTCCTGTATTGTTAACGCGTATATAACTTCCCCTCCACAGTGTTTGTATTACTACTACCATATGCACTTTTCTGTAGTGGTAGTCTGGAACAGCTTTTCCACTTCCCCAGTACCTGAACGGGCATACTGTACTTGATTTTCAAACGCTTATATGCACTCTTATTGTGTTTTGTTTGAAGCACGAATATCCTAGCTAAGCTAATACTGTTCTTAGTAGTGCTAGACAACTGTTCATACTACTTGACTTGTTAGATTGCTAAACGTTGTGACTTGGGAATAAAAAAATCTGAATGAAGTGAGAATTTTAATAAGGCGAGTTGTTTAGACTCTATTAAATGTTAGTTTTCAACACTATTTGCAACATGATGCAGTTTAACTATTTGCAGAAAGATTAGAATTATGATGCATAGTCACACTAAGTCTGTATATTAATCCCACTGTAATCAAGTATCTTATTACTGCATAATTTTTTGCGATGTTATCTCTATTCTCCATTTTTATGGAGCAACCCTCTCAAAATGAATAACCAATAATCCTCATAAGCCAGCCCTGTGTAACTTCTGCCTACATTAGAGTAGTACGGGTAGGGTTAACGTTTGCAGTGGTTTAGCTGAACTTTAATTTGTGCATTGAAGCTTTACTATTGCTGTTCTCCTGTGCTGAACAGGTATTAGTTTCTAGCATTTGGAAAAGTGTCCCTAATCTAAGAGATTAAAGATCATTTGACTTTTTTAAGGAAAAAAAAAAACCCTTCAAGCAGTACAAAAAGTTTATTTTTTAAGCATTCAGCTTGAATACATGTGATCAAATCTTTGACCATAGAAAATAAAAAAGATTGTTCCAAGATATGCTTTAGGCCAAGTTTCAGCCCACAGAGAATTGTCATAGTTGAATTTGAAACCCCTGGAAAACAGATTAAGTTTTGACACCACTAACAGTGGCATGTGCAGTGCCTTAAAAGGGATAAAGAGTAAAACGTTCCCTAGAAATGGCACCCCTTTACTTAATTTTATATAACGTACAAGTTAATTTAATGATTAAATAGTCACATTTTAAAATATATTACAAGTTTACTTACAGAATGAGTACTGTTAGTCTTGTCTGTATGTCTGTGTTCCTTACTGAAGTGCCAAGATTTTTCAAGTCTTGGGTAAAACGGTTTGAAGTGCTTCTCTAGTTTAGTTCCCTAGCTCTTTCCATCCCTTGATTCAAGGTTCCCAAGCTACTGGAAAACACAGGGAAGCTTAGAAGATACAATGTTCCAAAATAGTTACAGTATAGCTAGATAACAGTATTAGCTGAACAGTAGTAGAGCGGTGGTCATGAAAATGGTACTTCATGGTATTTTAAAAACTGAGCTAATGTAAGCATTGATAGTGTTTTGTAATACTAATTGGAAGTTGAACCTGTGTTTAGTACATACAAGGTAGAGATCTTAAACAGGTCTGACCAAGGGAGCAGCAAGGTTTTGCAATTACCTTATTTCAACTTGAAGCGCAGTGTAAGACATTTCATGAAATGCTGACACCCTTATCCTCCAGCTTAAGCAGTAGGGACAGGTTTTTTCATACTTTATAGGATCACTTTTACAGGATCTTTTGCCAAATGAACTGGCAAAACATTGATATTCTACACTCTATGGAGGAAGGTATGGCAAAGTTAGCAAGATGTCTACACACAGTTACCATCTTCCCCCTCAGAGGGATTTCGCCAACGCAGATGAATGGTAATAAAAATAACTAATACTTGAAAAGTAAAAGGTTGTCACCAGATAATAAATTGATATTCACAAATTACTTAAGATCCTTGCTGAAAATTGCATTAAGAATGCACCTAATGCCAATTACTTTTTCTTTGGTTTTCAAATCTGCATCTCGTTTCCTCAGCAGCTGGCCTCTGCAATGGACATGCTGGTCTTGGGAAATAAGTGATTCTTTTCAGCAGATAAAAGGACAGGTCCGGGCATCTAAACCTGCAACTAGACTAACAATTTCCAAGGTCTGACTTTGAGTTCTGCCTATGACTGCTGACTTAAAAGCCAAGATCAACTATGTCCTGCGAAAAAAGTCTCGTCATAACTGATGGTTGTGTATGGATATTAAACAAATAATCCATGCACAATATGGCTGCGATTCAACTTGTTTTTTAAAATTCATTCAAAATTGCATACTAAAGTAGACCACTAATGAGTCAATTGACATAGCTTTTCATGCCATTCTTGTCCTGAACTGAAACCAGAAAGAGGAAGGAAACTAACCTATAGTACTAATGGCAGTTTCTCCTCCTTTCTGGGTAAGGGTACTCTGCTAAAAGCATGCATACTGACACCGTTATTAAGGAAGTACATGTCACTGTATAGTCTTCAGCTTTTATCCTTTATTATGTACACAGCAAAGAAGGCAGCATTAGACACACACACACAGTGTGTTACATCCATTCCATTCACAGCACACACACACGCATACACACAGCCTTAAAAAAGTGTCTGTGATAAGGAACATATTATAAATGTTGTGATCTTTATCTATAAGCCCCTGAGCTTTTCTTTTAGTTAGGTGAAAAGGCAATGAACAAGACTTTCCTTGCTCTGTAAGTGCTTTGTGCAACAATGTCCATAGAGGTCATACTCTTGTCTTTTTGGGAGGAGCAACATACATAAGTGTCTTACTCCCATAGTCTCTGTCTCTTATCGCCATTTTTGCACCAAATAGTTTCCAGTTATGTTTAGTCATCATAGTCAGCTAGTATAGCTCTCGCTCCTGTGATTAAAGTTAGGATCAGTTCTGCAGATGGTAAATGAAATGCAATCTCCTCCTTGTCTCAAGAGATGTCATCTTGGTGATACTGTAGGACTAGAGAAGTTACCAGAATTTCGTGGGGACTGGTGAGGCACGGATGGAGAACTGGGTGACAGTTTTCTTGGGCTGCATAGATCACCATTGTGCAACTTCCACAGGAGTTCTTCATTTTCCATTGACAGACGTTTGTTTACTTTTGATTCCTTTTCTAGTGACTCCTGTAAAACGGCCTGCTCAGTAGAAAGTTGCCTGCAAAAAATAAGATTTACATCGGTGCACATAATTCAAGTTGAAGGTTACATTACCGAAAATAATTTTGAAACAGAGCTTTCTGAAACTGTATAAAACCCTGCTTTGATTGCAGCTAAATTAGTTGCAATGAGGATTTGGTATGTTCTCATGCTTGTTGGATCTAAATGCACAGCTTGCAGAGAGCAGGAAGAGGAGTCCTAGCGAGAAGCATTCCTAAAGACCAGTGGAAATGGCCAGAACAAGCCATGAGACTTGTCCTAATTAAAGTGAGAGATGCCATGCCAGAACCTCTGGGCCTTGTTGCAGGCCCAGTTCTGCAGAGGCTGTGTAGCAGCATCCTTCAAACTACAGGAGTTAGCCCATCCCTTTAAGGAATGGATGAAGTTGTGAAAACCTGAGACCCATTTAGATATTGCTGTTATTGCTAACTAAAACACACTGGTCTCCTCATCAACCTAAAGTTGGGGACAGATCACTAAATTGAAACGGTTAGAAAGTAAAACCAAGCCTATCTCACAAAACAACGCTATTTAAAGAGGCTGTAACAATCTGTTGTAAGATGATATTCCCAAGTTGCTTTCTCTCCCTTGAAATACTGTTTCAGAGCACTGAAGAACATGATGAGCCTTTACTTCCTTTCAATCTATTCCTGTTTCTTGTTTCTATATAGGAATGCAGATTTGTATAGATGTGTTGGGGAAGGAAGGACTGTATTCCTTTTAAGCACTTATACAAAAACCTGGTCACTGTAATAGTCACATTGATTTTTTTTTTCCTCCCCTAGTCACAGGAACACCTTCTCCTGGTTAATAAGGATATCTGGAAGTCCTCAGATATATTTCACCTTGAAAGTTCCATGTGTTTGTCCATTCGAGCTTTTAATTCTTCATTTTCTTGCTGAAATTTCTTCAGTTTATCCATTAAGACTGTATTGTTTTCCACCTTTCAAAAAAATGTCACAGATTGAAATAAAACCCATACATACATGCATCAGGCAATTGACTGAATTATAAACAACAGACATTCAAAATCTGGAGTTTGCAGACCTTATCACAATAAATGCAAGAACATACAGAGTGACCTTGGAGTAACATAACACTGACCTGCTGTAATGGTTTAATGTTCTCTAATATGCCAGAATAAAATAAGTACCCCTATTTGACTAACACTGGCATTTTGCCACTTGTGCTGATTAGATGCCAGCAAAAAACTGGGTAAGATATCTACTAGTTGGCTATGTAGTTACTAACAGCGTTTTTGTCATAGCTGCAGACAGCAGACTATCTAGAAATAATGTGATAAAGTGACACATTTGAGAGCTCCCCTACGTAATCAGTTCTCCCTGCTGCTCTCCGGATTTCACTTTATTACTGCAGGATGTTATCAAAAGTTAAGGAAAAACACGTTGAATGGTTGAATTTGCCAAGGGCTTTTAAACTGTGGCAATCTTTAGTCAGAATACATGAAGTTTTTCTAGGATTTTTGCACAGTAATTGTAGACCAGTGGTACAGGACAACACACAATGCTGTGCAATACTGTACAGCTGACTTGAAAGTATTGCTTTGTATCCAAACCTCCTCTTATACATCCTCATTACAGTCTTGTGTTCAAGTATTACAAGAGCGTTCAAGGGCCCCACCCAGAATAAGGACCCAGTTCTGCCATACCAGATGAGAATACACAAAGTAACTACAAATTCTCCCCCCAAAATTGCCTTTTCATGTGGAATTACAGACAGAGGAGGAATAAAGCCACACAGCTAAACAAGCAGCTTAAAGATAATAGCTAAAATATTTGATCTAAGCCAATCAACTCTAGATGAAAAGATTAAAATATTTATTCAGTATCATATTTGATATTAATTAGTTGCATTTATCTACATTGGGTGAATTTCTCTTTTTATTTAATTAAGATCAGTTCTGTGTTAACATTTTGCTGGCAGTGCAGGCCAGAATTCTGGGTACGTGCTCAAAAGGTTCTTCCACAACACCTGAGCAAATGGTAGCAGGTAAGGGGAGGGGTAGGGGAGAAGAGAAGGGAGAGGAAAGGAGATGTGGAAGGGCTCCCAGGTAATCCTGGGCTAACTGTCAGCTACAGTCTATGCAAACCAGGAGTCGTCTTAGAGGTTATTTACAGCATCTGGTAATTCCTTTCCCCCTCTACATTATGACCCAATATAGATGTAATTGTACCTGCAATGTGAGCATATCGCATTATAATTTAATGTTTCCTTTTAGAAAAAAAGGCTAATCCTGGCACATACGTCTGACCAGCCTAAATTCATTATCGGAAGATAACTCGGAGACATGGTCCTAAATTGCCAGACCCCAAGGGAAGCTCACCAGTTTTTCCATCTTCATTAGCTTTATATCCTGCTGATGTAGCTTCTCATTCTTGATCTCCAACACTGCTTTCAAACTTTCCAGTTCCTGTTCCAAATACATAATCTGCGGGTTTTTCTGAAAGATGTCCACAGAATTTGCTTATTACCCTCACAATTTCAGAAACAATTTAAGTATTTTTCTGCTATTTAGGAAGAGAAAGAAAATAAATGTGGTAACGAGAGTTACTTTTTCCTAAGAAGTGAAATCAAGGTGGACAGTTTTGAGTAAGAAAAAGATTGAGTACCACTTTCCCTTCTGATTTTGTTTGTTCTTTAGTTTAGGACAGTTGCAGCTTTTCTTAGAAGAAAGTGTTTAGGGTTTTTTTTTTTGTAGAAACGTGGAAAAACCCTTGTGAATCAAAAGCAAGGTAGTAACGCTGTCACAACAAAACTCATTTTGTGGGAGTGCCCAAAGGCTCTCTCTAAGGCTAGGATGTCCAAAACTTATTTCATTTTACTCATAACCCAACTCAAAAAGTTATTTGAGTAAATACTTCAAAAGTTTTCAGGTGCTGGAGTAGTTCAAAAAGCACCCAAAGTTTAACCCTATGAACCTGACTGTGGCTAATTTTCACTGTTTCAATTCTAAGGCAGCTCTTACAGAGGAATCCAAAGTTGTTGTTTTTACACTCTTCTTAATAGCCCAGCAATGCAACAGCAAATACAAATCTTGCACTGTTGTAGAGTGTGATTCATCTACTAGACAGCAAGCCAGGACTTGAATCTGAATTTTTTTGGTCAGATCCATTTCCATCAAGGACCTCTTTTCCAGGGTAAGCAACCATCTGAACTTTGCAAAGTAAAACATATTCTTGAAAATTTAAAGGTGAAGTCACAAGCAAAATAAAGAGAAATAAAATAAGTTTCAATCCATTTCCAGGTAGCACAACTGGAATAGAAACAGAAGTTAATCGATGATTAAGCATGTTGTGTAACTAAGTTTATCTTTACACACAAACAAAACTTGTTTTAGCATATTTTGGTAAGACTACCGGTGTACTGAGTTGAGTAACAGCTTCATTGCCACATCAGAAAAATAATGACTTGCAGGGAGGGAGATGACCTGCAGTTTTGTGGGACGCAGCCCACAGACAGTGGCAGCATGCTGCACTGGAAAGTAAGGACGCAACCAGTACCATTCACAGTTAATGCAAAGGCCGAATCAGCTATGCATTTCATTCTCCTGACAGTTTTTAAGGATTGTGGCATTTGTAATTCTTACCTAATTTCTACTTTTGAATAGAAGTCTGTGTGTGGAAATGCTGATGTGTCTCAGAGAAAGAGGCAAACAATTTGCACTTAATTCTTTCTTTTTATGGCTTTATACAGAATTTAGGAGCTATGGATCTGAATGACTTTTTTTTTTTTTTTTTTTTTTTTAAGTGTTTCCTCCTCTGCTGTGAAGAGTTAAAACTTCTTTTTTAAAGTTACATCTAAACTACCATGTTAGCTATTGACAGTACAGCACAGTCAGATAAAAAGACTGAAAAGTCCAGATAAGATTTTTACCAAAAAACAAAAACACATCTTTCCCCTCCCCCAAATCCTACAGGAATATCAAGTGACACTATTTAGATAAAACTGGAGAGTTAAAAATACACCTCTGTCTTCAAAAGGCTCATGGAAATTCTTGCTGTGCAGAATTTGTATTTAGCACAAAAGAGCCTACTGGGTCAAGTCAATCTTTTCCCATAGAGAAGCCTCAAGCTTATGAAGTTGTTTTATACTAACTGTTATTCCCCTGCTCTCAGGATGGGAGAGGTATTTGCAGCTGTGTAAGAGGCACTTGCTATTGCTCCTTTACATCGCTTAACATCTGAACACGTTTCTGGAATGCAGTTCAAACTGCCAAGTGCAGCCTCCCCATGTCTGCTTTGGTATCATTCCTCCCAACCACAGCAATGTACTGTGGTTGCAGATTCCCCCTGCTGCAACTCTGCCCTGCCACTAGAATAAGCAGCGAGAGAGAAAGAAATTAAATTCCAGCATAAACTAGATCAACTTCTGTTAGGTTAAGTCTGCACTTTTTGCACACAAAGCAGATGCTTTCTCTGGCTTTTCTTCCCCTTCCCAAAGCTCACTGATTGTTCACATTTTCCACCCAAAGGGCTCCCAGCTCCTGGAAAGAGGCCAAATTGCTGGGGTTCTGCTTTGCTGTCCTCCGCCCAGTCAGGTCTTCCTCCTGCTCCTCTTTGTCTTACCTTGTGGTCTCACATTGCATACACCTGACCTTCTGTTTTATTTTCTCTCTTGAATGTTCGACCAAGTCTTAAAATGGGGAGCGTGCGCCGAAGACTGTTCTCAAATTAAATAGCAGAGGCACACAAATCTGTGTCCAAAACCACTATCATTAACAGACTGTACCATCATAAAATACAGACTTACTACACTTGCATGTGACTTGCTTCTAGGGGAAACAAATGCAGACTGACCATTTTTAGTAGCTAAACTGGCAAAATCTAAAGATGTGCCACTAAAAGTATTTTAAATGGGTTTTTAAGCCTAGAATTTCTCTTCATTGGATAAGTAATACTAATGCTCAAACTGAGAAGACAAGCATGTTTATATCTAATCATCTCCAATACATGAAAAACCTCTGTGCACATTTGCAATTCCAGGAGAATCACAGATGACAGCAGCCTTGGGAAGACAGACAGACAAAGAAAAGTTTATCTAAAGCATACACCAGCAACAAGTATGAACCAGTTTGGAAAAAAAAAAAAATCATTAAAGACTAAACTATAAGAAGTGAATTTTGAAGTAATGATACAAGACAGCCCACGCTGATTATGGCACTTTTAAAGCATTTGTTGATCATAGAGAAAGTTATGTTATGCCTTGTGTGCTATGCTTAGGCTTTCAATTTAGCTTAGGCTATGACTTACTACACTGGCTTCGATATTCAACAGTTTTAGATATTTCTGATGGTAAAGTTAATACACATCACTGTCTAGCGCTTGAGAAAGATTTTTGGTAGGAAAGTCATTTATGCAAAATATTTATCAGAGCCGTATAGCTCACAAGAAAGGCAGTTCCTTGACTAAGAGGCAAGGCTGTTGGCTGCAAGAACGTTTTAGTAACAAGACAAGTAACTTACTTGGATGCTCTAATCACATTAGCTTATAACTCCTTCAGTACATTCCCTGAGACCAACTACATGTCATTCTTGGAAATAAATTAAAATGTTACATAGCTGTCAGTTACACGAGGAAGTCTGTGTACTGACTTAATTCAGGTGTACGCCTTTCAGCAATGGATACGAATGCATTAGCTTGCCCATATCATCTCCTGCATGTCTGTTCATCAGTACTAACGACTTGATAGCAAACCTTTCATATTATGCAATAACTTCTCCCCCCATCCCCAGAAGAGAAAAACAAGCCTACAAGATTTGTTAATCTGCTTTACTTTTGAGGATCAGGACTTACAAGATTGGCTTTTTCTTTGGCTATTTGTTTTTGCTCTTCTAATTTCAGCCTCTCACTTAGAGAGTCATTTTCACATTTTAATTCATCAATCTTTTTCTGAAATGAAAAGATATGGTATAGTTAGGCCAAGAATTCAGTGCACCTCCCAAACACCTTGCAAGTTTTACACTGTTGCCATGTCTCAAACCCTTAACAAACCTCTAGCAATTCCTGCTTCTCTTTAAAGGAATCCTGAAGCGACTTCCTTTCAGATTCATGGGCACTCTTGAGCTCTGAAACAAATTATTTTTTGCAGATTTTTAATATTGCGTAAGACATGGGGAAAGAAAGAGCGAGAAGCAAACATACATAAACAGTCAGTTACAAAAAACACCGAAAGAACACTATTACCATTTTCAAACAATATAGGAGATATACAAAGTATCAGATTTATCACTGCTTCATTTGCTGATCATTCCCTCACGCATGCACTTAATTCTATTTAATTAGCTGGCAGCATGTCAACTTTGAAAGCATTCATCTACAGGCAACAAATAGAGGAACTGAGCGCAAGAAACACATCTGACAAAAGCTGAACTTCTGAAAGGAAGTTTTCTAGGAGCTTCTAGAAAAGCATTTCTTTTCTACACTCATTCGTACTTTGGAAATATCAAGCAGAAGACCTTGCTCCTTGATTGCAGGGGAAGTGTCACCAGTTTTAATGAGGTAAAAATCTCATTAGAAACTGGGTTGTCAAGCAGAGTTGGAAGGAGGAAGGAAATCATCATCTCTTCAGTCAATTAAGATGCAATGCCATTTAGAACTGAGCACGCTCACCCGCTGCCCTGAAAAACAACCTTCACCCCAGGTACAGTGTACACAATGTGTAATATTTCTCAGCTCAAGAAACGTTTCCATTTTTATCTGGAAAATACACAACCCCAATTTTGCTGGATTTCAATTCTGAGGTGCTCCTTATAAAAACATGGTGAGGGAGGGGGAGCAATTTACTTGCTACCTTGAGATTCTGAGGGTAGTCTGCAATTTAGGCACATCTTTTACTGAAAGAAAGGAACTCCAATCTTAAACTGTTTTCAAGGTGTCGTTCAACTATAATGGGATTACTGGCATTTCAGTATGTAAAATAAGCCTTGTTCTGTTCCAAAAAAAAAGGAATTTTGACAATGTTATTAACCATAGCTGATTACCAAGAACAATTAAAAGTTGAATATTTATGTTTATAACTAGCAGGACTATAGTGCATGTACTCAAATACAGAATACTTGCCTGAAAAAGAAGATTCATATTCCTTTTTCAGCTCCTCTACTTTTTCTGAGTGGCTGCTTTCAAGTTCCAGCTTAAAGTTCTCATGTGTGATGTTTAAGTTGTCAACCTGCAATATGACAATATGACTTCCTCCCCCGCAGCTTATCAAATTAATTCATTCATTAATTCATTAAAGCAGCATTGTTACAATGGCTTTCTGCATTATGTTGAGCACATGTTTTGGATAGTCTAGGTAGCACTTAAAGATAGCGTAAAACGTGAGAAACGAAGCCACACACAGCACTTAGTAGATGAGAGTGATGCCTCATAGTTCACAGATACTAACAAGATGATGTATCTGTTGCACACACGGAGATGTTGCAAAGCAAGTTGACAGGCTAGATGCGTTTTTATAAATCCTAAAACTCAAGCTGATGCAAATATCCAGTAGAGCTCCAGAAGTCATTGGAGTTTGTAGAACATCAGGAATCTGTACTATGCTTAAACATTAAGATCTGGGCAACTCAGTGTAGTAACATTTTTCTAGTTGCAATAAAGTGGAGTTTCACATCACACGAAGCAACCAATAACTCAATTATTAACAAAAATCAGGACCGTCTGAAGGCTCATTTGTAACAGAAAGCAATTACTAGAGAGCATTTCTACTTCAAGGGTCACAAACCTGCTCTTGAAGTTGTGCTTTGTACTTTTCAGCTTCTTCAATGCAGATGTTCTGGAGTTTCTCACATTCTGCGGTGTAAAACTGTTTAAGCCTCTCCTCCAGCTCAGCTAAATCATTGTGGTGTTGCTGATTTAACTTCTGCACAAATCCTTCATAAGCAGCTTGCAGCTCATTCCTGTCTCTCTCCAATTTCTCACAAGCTGCAGAAGTTGTTACTGAAGATTTCAAAAGAAGAAGTAATCAAGTTCAATGCTAAATTCACATTCAGTCTTTGTTACAGGTATTAAAGATAGTAATGAATACTCTGCAGAACAGCAGCAATACCCAATACAATTTATCCATAAATTAGTGCCACCTCCAAGAACACAAAAAGACGATTTTGAAGATCTTCGGAAAAATACTGAATTGGCAGTCCATACACTACTTCTGCTGAGAATTACTTGAATCTGGAGTTACATCAGGAACCCATATAAAGGGCACAAACGTGACAGTTTGTCATGACATAAGAGATACATCAGTGAATGTCTCACTAGAGATACTGGAGTGCTCTAATAAAAAGGTAATTGAATTTACTACTTTACCTAATTTGATCCCATTTCAGTAGTGAATTTCTCAGAGTACTTTTTTGCTGTATAAACCACTTAGCTAAATTGCAAAGTCTTAATATCCTGAAGACCATCCATTCAACATGTTAATGACAAGCAGATATGCAACAGAGAAGCAATTCTAGCCTCACATGGGCTACCCAATACAGAGTGACAGAAAACACCAAACCTCCAATCTGAAACATACTACCGACACGCACAGGCCTAAGATATTTAAATATGCAAGATACAGGAGAGTTTCAGGCACAATGCAGAGTAGTAAGAAAACCGAATAATTACAGTGTATTTCTCTTTCCAGATTAAACACAGGCCAGCTAAGGCTACTGCCTAGGTTTGTCTCCCCGTGTTTACAAGTGATTAAAAGGCAAGGTAGAAGTTAGTAACTTCCACTTCTCAGCTTTAAATTTAGCATTCACAACTCCAGCTAGAAGGGTCTTAGTAGGGGGAATCATTTTTCTACTCTTAATATGGCTGCACCAAACATCTTACAGTTCCAGCTGCACCCAAAGGCTGGAAGCAAGGAGAAACAGAAGCATGTGGTCACTGAATATCATAAGCAAATTGCTTAAATACAGCCTCTAGTGCTTTTGTTTAAATTAAATAAATAGATTAGCCAATATATGTCTATTTAAGAGAAAAAATAACTGGAATGGATTAAACACAGGAGGAGAAGTCATACATACATGTATTTTATAACCTGCTTGGCAGGCTGCCTGAACGGTATCAATTTAAACTCTATATAAAAGCACTGGAACATGCATGAATCTTTGTACAGGCATTACAGGAAATTCTTAGCACAGCTTTGTTTGAGCCGTAAGATATACATACATTACAATATCTTAAAGCACAGATTCCCAAATCAGTACTGTCTCAGCTGTTAGTGAAAACAGTCTTTCCCAGCAGAGTGCCTGAAATTACATACTTGTCAGATTGCCACTTTGCTACAGCTCATCGAGAGCACGCGAGTAACTGAACGAACGCTAGTCGAACTCTGATTCAAGGAAACTGTAATGAAGTCCCAGCTCCACGGCAATCACTTGGAACCTGCACTTGAACCAGCAAACGTAAAAAGACTGAGAGATGAACTGTGTCAAAATCAGTTTTCATGTGTACCTACCTGAACTAGTTCTAACAGGCTTAGCTTTGTGTTAGTTCTGTTTAAAAGGTCTGCTGATGGGACAGTTTTAAACAGAGCTGTTCATCCTGTGACAGGCAACAACCCAACGAACGGTTCAACAAAACCGTACCAGAACACTCTTCAACCAAAGCTGATTTCACAGCTTTCTATACTTGGAGGGAGAGTGGTCACCAACAAGTAAGGATTTTATTACCCTTCATTCCTTATGCCCACTTCTATAACAACTGCTTCCTTTGGAAAAATAAAACATTAATATTCACACTTCTAGCACATCACATTGGTGTAAAGTTATTGAATATATATATGCTTTGCATTGTCATGTTTTGGGGGAAAAGGGAACATGGTGGGATAAGAGGCTTTATTTTATAAAGCAAAGGAACAGGCAGAGTGCCAAACAGAGCCATTACACAGTCACATGCAGAACTGATCTGATCATTTATAGCACAGTAAAGAGGTATAGCTGAGAGGCAAATCAACTCACATGCTTCATTTAAAATAACTAGCAAAATGCTTCAAATGACCCACCTCCTTTAAAAGGAAAGAGGAAGAAGCAGTCATCTAATTCTTTATTTGTAAGGCCAGAGTCATGCATTTGCCTCTGTTTAAAAGAATTTGCCTTCTATCATGCTCTTATCTTTAAATGTCAGGTGGCCAAGCATGTGGAATTTCAGGTGATACGTAACATCTTATAGAACAGAGAAGTCAAACAACAAACCACGCCTTTACTAAAGAAAGCAGTCGTGTTAGTTCTCGTTCAGCCAGTTTGCAAGTCAGATTTATGAGAAGACTAATGTCACAAAGTCAAACAAAACTAACTTTAAACCTGCACTGGAGGTTGAAGGTTGTGTTACCTCGAAGGTCATGCCTGGCCTCTGAAATGCTTCCTTGCAGATTTCAAGCCTGATCTTGACAGAATCGAAGATGAGTCCCTGTCCTCAAAGCACAGGCCAGAATGACCCTTACGACGGCTTACGCGAGCTCCCAATGTCCCAGCCAGGCAAGAGCCTGCGCATGTGAGGTTCCAGCCAAAGCTCTGATCGAATAATTCTTCGCTGGCAATTAAGAGAGCTCCTGTAAGCCAAAGCCGTCTGTCCCTGCATTCAAGGCTCATAAGCACGTGCAGCAAGTTATTTTGCACAGCCCTATCCGCTTCCACAATGAATAATACTAATGACTACACATTGCCTTATTTCAGGAAAGGGACAAGCCATGAAAAAGGCAAATAATTCCTTTATCTGGCCGCTCATCCACAGCAAGGGGACGCTGCAAAACTTGCGACTAACCAAACTGGAGATGATGACTATTCAACCTAAGAGTTTTCTTACAAAACTGGTGCTTAAAGAAAAAGTTTGTTACCTTGAGGACATGCTCTTCCAGTAGCTTAAGGATCTGCTATACAAAATGTCTATTTTGACTTCTCTTTCACTTCAGAAACACTCAGCGTGCACGCTTCAGAGTTTTTGAACGCTACTGTAGCGCTTCCTTGCCTTCCTCTCCCCTCTGAGAGCACTTCCCTCCGCAATTCCACGTCTTTATTATGCCACGCATTAAAAGAGAGTTTTGTGTTTTGAGCACAAAAACAACAGGGGATAAATGGCCCAACAGCATTGGAGAGAAACATCAAATTAAAGAGAGGAAAAGAGGCACTAGCCATTTATCCATTAAGTAGGTTCAATCCCATCTCTAACAGTAAACAGTTTTAAGCTTTCAAGATCCGTACAGAACAGAGGGAATGCTGTACTTGGCAACCAGAAGCAAGATTTACTTCATTATTCCAACAGCAAGGCCATTAATATTTTATCCCACTTAGTTGTCCCAGCCAATCATACAACACTTTCTCTCTCTCTCTCTCTCGTGCACTTTATTATTACAACAGGAAGCAGGTTTAATCTGCATTTTTAGGCTGCTTAACACCCCCTTTATTATAAATAAAGAATTTAACTCTTTTGGGCCAAACCTCTGGCAATGACAGGAAACTTCTGAAATTTGGTAACAGGATTCTTCCAATCAGAAATGACGTTTCTAACATGCAAAATTAACAATCATGTTTAATTTTTAAACAATGGCCACTATTGTCTCATGTATTTCATTGCCAAGCTTTCTGTGTCCCAGACCTGTAAACAAACACCACCCCCCCCCACCAAACACCACAGAACCAGACACGCGGCAGTTGCCTGCAACAGTACAAACTGCAGTGAATCCAAAGCACGTGAGCTGTAGCAACAGGTAAAGGAGCGCGCAAGCTGTCTCATCTATTTCTTAGTATCCAAGAAATCTGTTCCACATTTTCAATAAAAGCATCCAAGGGATAAACTCTTACAATTGTGCGATATCTCCTTACAAAATTTAGTTTGTTCTAACTGTTCTAATTCTAATCATATAACAATATAATTATACACACACCCACTAATATAACAAAACCAATTCGGTCTTTATGTCTCAAATGCTTCCATGAAATTATTTTTCAAGTTATATTCCCCTAAATGCCACCATAACCATAGCTCTAAGAAGATGAAAGGGGTATTGAACCTTTAGTTTGAATCCTAAATTATTTCAAAACAAAAGTTATCTTCATAAAATTGTCTAGGTCACTCACTGGTCTAACTATGACTTATGAAAATCTGTTAGTATGTACAAATCCTCCTTTTTGAAACACAACACACTAGAACAGTAAAATAGCAACATTTTAATATGTTTGGGGGATGTGGAAAGGCAATAATTACCAAAAAAAAATCAAGTATTTTAACATGGTATTTTGTCACAGTGCATGATATTTTATTGCTCTTTGTATTCCCCACTGGAAGATTTATGTATATGTTCCTTTGACCAGCAAAGCTGCTGGAGCCATACAAGCTCATCATAGATTTTTTTTTTTTAAATTCTAAAATATATTCATGTTTTTGGCAGATTCTCCATATTAGAAATTCTTCTGTCCAAACATCATTTCAGTTTATTACCAAGTTCCTCTTGACGTTACTTTTATGAGATTAATGGTACAGAACGTTCAGTTGCATTTCATATTTTTGTTCTTGGGCAAGCTGAAATGAGGTTAACCAAAAGCACGCTTTAAGCTACAGTTAAGTGTGTATGGTTGAACACATATGAGGCATTCAAATATCTGCAAGGAAGTAAGTTCCTGCCCTCTAATACAAGAAATACTACAGTATCAGCAGGCAGGCAAGAGTATGACCTCTGGAAGTGAGATCTCCTCCCCCCCCCCACTCACCCCAGCCCAGTAGTTGGTAAGAAATGTCTGTTTACTATTAAGCATTTTTTAAAGATCATCATAACCTGAAAACCAAATCATGTTCACTCCATCCTTCAGTCAAATAATAGTCTTAAAGTATTTTGTAGGTTGGGATAAAACAAGTAATTCATTAATAAAGGGTAACAAAATGGTATTTTAAAGAAAATACTCTTTATCAATTGCCATAAAGTAAAAGGAGAAGAAACAGAGTTTAGACATTTGGCTATACAGGATATGTGCAAGCACACTGAAAAAGGCTCATGAATTGCAATTTTCAGACAGTTAACATGCAGGCTGAGTCAGCTTTGCATCTGCTGCTGGGTCACTATTGAGCTGGATCGTGTCCAGGACAATTGCAAAGAGACTCTAAAACAATTTGGAATTTAATTAATTTAAAGGGTTAGTTTTGTGCCTGTGAAAAAATATGCAACTCTTGCAATTTCTACTTACCTGATTAAACAGGTAACTAAGAATAATTTGCACGTTCTCTTACGTGTTGTTGAGAAGAGAAAGAAGAGACAAACAGATATGAGCTCCAGGTTCCCCAAACAAAGGCATTTATATTCCAAGCTTTTTGGTTTAGGCCTTGTGGCTGGAGTTTGTAAGGAAACTCAAGTTAAGAACACTACTGTTCCTGTATTTGAACTCCTTTGAAAAGCCTATCCTCAAATCCATCATCACTGCTACCTCTCACACACATTTCCAACTACCAAAATCAGAAAACGAAGCGTCTTGTAACCATCACTCACGTGGAAGTGATCCAGAGACGCTGCTCCGCAACACAGTAGTTACTAAAGTGCAGTTCTAGGATCATGATGCTTACTTAACTCAGTCCACAAGAAAACGTTTGTACACGTTTATTAAGCCAACAGATATCTCGGTAAAAAGGGTAATACAGAATAATCTAGTAAACTGACCATTTGATAGCAAGTCAATGTGGTTTTTGCAAAGTAAATAAAGGAGTTTGGGAGCGTACACAATTAAACTTCAAATGAACAAACTCGGGACTGTGCAAGGTGTAAGCTGCAAGAGATTTCTTGTTTGTCTCAAACTTGGCAACATCCAGTGCACAGACTACAGTAAGCCTGACACACCTGGTTCCTCTTCCGAGACTGCCAGTTCCCAAAACGTAATGCATGTTGTTTTAAAAACAGCTGGGGACTCCATGAGACATGTACAATTTGTACAGGCAGCCTAAGATAGATTCAAATTGCACTTTACTTTCTGAGCTCACCTGTGCCTAACTCATACTGCGAATTAAGATAAGCAGCACTTAAGATTTCCACAGGCTGTTTTGAGGTAAGGTCAGCTATATCCATTTAACAGCAGCAGTACAAAGCTGATTAGTGGCTATGTGTATAGACTGATTATTTGCAGCTAAGACTAACATGACATGAGTTTTGTTCTTGTACCTCGTCAGCAAGTGAGATCTGGCTTTTTTATTTTTTTTTGGTTAACCCAGCCTTTTTAAAGCTTGTTGAAATTGAAGACCTGGCTAGTTTTTAATTTCTGTGATTAAATCCAGTCCCTTTCACATGCTGAGGAGAGAGACGTGCAGATAAGCTAGACATGTGACATGGTGAAGACAAGGGAACTGCACGAAGACAAATGCTTCACTGAAATCATGGTTTGGAAACCTTACAAAGGGAAGCGAATCAGAGGTTGCTACTCAGATGCTTCTGGAGAGTTGACAAACACACACAGTCTCAAATAAGGGGAACTGCTGACGCCGTCCCCTTATGCTAGCAGGGTGTCAGCTAGCATAGCCTTCTGACACGTCTGTGATGAATATGCATCACAAGTCAATCAAGCTGAGTTACATTTGAAGTTTTCTAGTTACCAAGCCTCTGAATGGCATATGCTTGAAACAGGAATCCCACAGATGGGCTCAGCAGGCTGATAATAGAAGCAGGACTAAATAAATAAGTTCATGGGAAACTCATCTCCAAGTTAGAAATCCTTAGAAACAACGGGCAGCAAAAGTGCTGGCTAGTTTTTGGTCTACACAAGCTAAGCTAAATCTAAGCTGAATTTTGCTGTTTCTATTAAGTGACCAAGTGTAGTGACCAGGGTGATAAAGGAAAAAAACACTGAGGATGTAGGCAACTGGAGGAATGGAGAAACCTTTTCTTGCTCTGATAGCAATCTTTCTGAAGTCATTTTTCAGTCATTTGTTTTTTTTTAAACAAATGGATTTTATGGTTCACCAAGAACGCAAGAAACTCATTTCTACACTAAGATTCTGGTTTCATGGATGTAATTTTAAGCTGACACAGAAGTGCAGGCTGTTGCTGAAGAGAGATACAACCACCCTCCTCCACCCTGCTCACAGCTCCTTCTCCTTCCTTTGCTCTGGCCCCTGAGGCTCCTTCAGCCACATGCTGAGCTAGACCAGGCCCCTTCACCACTGCAGCACTTCAAACCACTTGTCTCCGGCACATGCAGGCCCCCAGGCTGGCTCTCTGTGCAGCTGCATGGGCACCAGGGCCAACACAAGGCACAAGACAGGGACACAAAGATAGAGGAAGACAAGGTTCTTTCAAAGACAGCCCTGACTTGCAGCTCCCTGAAACTACTGCAAAACTGCAGTCCAAGCATTTCATCGGTACAACAGTTAAAGACTGCAGCCTGTCAGGTGTCACCATGCACCACGCTCTAGAAAAACCTCAGCTTTTCACCAATCTAACTCCAAAGAAAGAAAATGTAAATTGGAAGAATTCTGGCATTTCTGCAGTGCATTTGTTACCTTTGGACCTCTCGCGTATCTACTTAGGCTGCGAGGCTTTCTTTACCTGTGATACTGCTCTTTCACACATCTGCAATTTTATGCAATATCAAAAATGCTCCTCCCACCAGAAAGTTTCATTTTAAAATAACACTTTAAACTGGACTACAGTAATAGCAATGAGCAGAGAAACCATGCTCTGTTGGTTCAGCTGAGGGGCCAACCCCCCCCGCCAAGCTTTCAGTTCTGACCAGTTGCCAGCGAATGCCCATCTTATTAATCAGCACTGAAAAATAAATCTGGAAATTAAATGCAGCAGCTGTGCATAAGACCTGTACTCACATTCAAGTTTGGCTGAGATCACACTCAGCTTCTGAAGCACGTGAAAATAAATATTCAAACTTCTCAATAATAAGTGACATATCTGAAACTGCTCCACATAGATAACCTCTGTTCTCATTTTTTTTTTTTTTTAAAAGGTGTCTTCATCATGAGAGAAGTGTGCTTTTATAAAAGGCTAGGCTAGCTTCACTTTCAAGTGCTACCAATTTCAATTCAATGGCGTATTGCACTCTGGAAAATTATGCTGCTTTGAGCTCAAGTAAGACATACAGAGTTAACATTAAATGCACTTAAATCAAGCTTCAAAAGTTGGCAAAACCTGCCCTTGAACATTATAGCTCGGTTTCATATTATAGCTGTCCATGAGGATGAGTTCAAAGATTTAATCTCATTAGCCTGATAGCATTTCCTTCTGTTAATTTTACACTCATTTAACTAAAAGCCACTAAGGCGAAGAGGCAGATTTTGTGCAGTATGTTTTATAGCTTTGGGGATTTTTGCCAGCAGATCTCTAGAAACAGTGTACAAATAATTTAGGGATCAAACAGAAATATATACACTGTTGGACATCCTCCCCTTTTTAGAAAGCGAGTGCCTTGGTCACCAGATACATGTTTTGTGCAGACGCCCTGCTAGGCGCAGGCAGATCAGTGCCAGGAATGCAGTGAACCTGAGGTCAGGCTGTCAAGGCTCCAGAGAAACGCAGCGATTAAGCATCTGAGCAGAATTCAGTCAGGGAATTAGATGACTGCCATTACCATACCATGCATCTGTCTTTCCAAAGACCTGAGTTTTCCTCTTTTCGTTAAAATTAGGAAAATAGGTTCTTACCCAGTTCTCCTCGAAGGTTAACTAGTTCTTGAGATAACTCTTTATGCTGTTTTAGTGCTTCTTCCCTCTGTAGAGAGGAAAAACAAAAACACAGACCAAAAACATCTGGTTACTAGTGGTGTGAATAGGGCACCTTCCACCAATTAACTTACATGGGTTCTGCAGGAAAACAAGCGGCAGGAGTGAGGAGCCAAGATATGAATCATTTAGGATAACAGTTCTGCTGTTACAAAATACACAGATGTTCTTCTGCTGTTAAGGAAGTTAACATACTTTAAAACAAAGATTACTTTTTTCCAGGATAACACTGCAATTAAAATCCTACCTTGCAGCAATTAATTACATATTTTATGATGGGTGTAGCAACATAAACCTACAGCACATATCAACTGATACCTCTCAAGGGCGGTAGATGTGAAACAGGCATGCATTAAATATTTATCTTAAGCTTACTTCACAAAACGTCAACCCAAAATGAAAAACTTTGCTAAAAGCTCAATCTTCCATGACGCAAAGGCACAGCCCAGTTCAAAGTTGAACACAACTTACCCCCTGCTCACAATTTTTAATTTTAAGCTAAACGTTGGTTCCTATTCTGCAAAGAATTACAACGCATCGGAGTTGCAGCCAAACAGAAAGCCCAAGCCCCCCACTTTGCCTGGAAGGAGGCGGTAGCTGCGGCTCAGCCGGGGGCAGGAGGCTCCCAGGCGCCTCGGCCCCCTCGGGCCCCCCCCCCCGCGGAGCCACAGCCGCTGCCAGGGCTGACATAGCGCTGCGGAGATGACAAGGTCCCGGCTTCCTGGGCAGGAGCCGCCTGCTGCCGGGGCGCTTTCACCTTGCTGGCGGTCAGCTCCTGCTGGTGCTGGCGCAGAAAAGCACTACAAAACAAACGCTGATTACCCTTGCTGCAGCACACTGAGAATAGAGGCACAGTTTGCTACTAGAGCAGCCCATTTTCCAGCTTCTGGAGCCCCCTGCTCTGCCCCCCCGCGCACGTGCAAAGTGCACAGGTGGCAGCACCACCACCCAAACCGCTCCAGCTACAAAGAAGGCACCGGTGGGAAGAGCTCCACTGGACCTTGCCTCAGCCGTGCCTCACGCCCGCAGGTTACCGTACTTCCGCGCCGATCGCTCCCAACAGCGGCAGATACTGCAGCTTCTGCAATTGGCACAAGCAGCCAGCGCTTACTTAAAGCCACAGCCCTTCATTTATGAAAACCAAGCCCCAGACGTTAGACTGATCCACTTCCACTGGCTCAACTATCAGCCAGGACAGTAAAGGCAATGCTGCCCTGCTCTGCAGATAATGGAGTTTATTTTTAGCTGTTCAGAGCTTGCTTTACCCTGCTTTCACACTTAATTTGTTGATGCAAAAATAAATGACGGGAAGCCTGGGCTGAATGGAAGAGCTCCAGAGACACACACACCACTGAGGCAACCTCACTGCCGTGAATACCCAAGCTTGCAAGCACAGCTCCTACATTCCCAAAGAGCTCACTACTTGCCTTGTATGCCTTTGCTTCTAGACATTAGAAACAAAACAAAACACTGACCCAAAACTACTCTGACTTTTTCAGTAGCTACTACACTATCCACTATGGTAGCCCAGGTGGCACACTGGCAGGGCACCCGTGGAGAAAGCCTTCACGGCTGGTTGCCCAGGGGGAAGCCCACCTTTACAGCAGGTTCCCCATTTGCCCCGGTCCCTGCAGACTGACCGCAGGCTCGTGTTGGCACCTGATCACCTGGTTAAGAGCACCCTGTCCTGGAGGTGGGGAGTACTCACTCCGCAAGTGCCAAGCAAATAAGCACTAAAACACACCGTTCTGAAGGAAAGGAAGAGGGAATGAGCACCCAGAGAGCGTTGGTGACCCCTCACGTTTAGCTTTAAGCATACCACCACACAGCTGAAATACTGAGAACTCATTAACTTGCTTTCAGGCTGGGAACTCATGGTGGTGGTGGGTCAACAGCTCATGCTACATTTAAGCAGAGAGTTAGCATTTCTTTTTGAAGTTGCAGTATGGCTAAAAATCATTTGACACAAGACTAATCAAAATTAACACATAATGCTGTATGTCCCCATTTGATGGGAGCGATAGGAAATTATTCTAGTGTTAAAGAGGCTAGTTAGAAGACAGGGCCAGGCCTTTACTAGAAATATTTGTGTTTTTGACCCTATAGACCTTTTAAGGTCTATATTTAACCACTGCAGTTTAAGCAGTCTTAGCACTCATTTGGACACTGACAAACTTGAAGGGATATTAAGTAGCTGTGTTATAGCTTTATAATAAGCACTGAGAAACTTTTTACAATGCTAGCTGAGCTAAGATTGAAAGCTGTCCCTTATCTACCACAGTAGATTCTCAGGAGAGCATAGAGTTCACTTATTCAGAAGAGTCACCCTTCTTTTCCCCCCGTTTCCCTGGTCAGGAAGGAGAGATGAGTCATCCTGCTCAACATCAGTGCCCACTGCAGAAACAGCACTGATGGAAATGTGAACACTGCAGTGAGTTATTTGACTTGCATCCTATTGCACTGTGTCCACAACCAAGTACTGAATTTTTAAAGGAAGTTAACTATAACAATACGTGTATTTTCACATCTCAGGCTCCCGATAGGATTTTCCAAAGCTTTTTCAGTAACTTTGTCCATTACTAAATTGGCATACAAACACACTTAGCAGGTTACTTTTCGGATTTTTTCCTTCCCTTATCTTTACTTCTTAGTTTGCATACTCATTCCCTATTCTAATTCTCAAATATCAGCCTTCAGTCTGATTTGTTCCAGCCCACTTAATCAGTCAGTAAAACATCTCTAATTGCCTCTAGTGGCCATTTCGCTTAGTGCTTCCACAAGACCTGCCACACAGTCCACAGAACCTTTTATATTTATTTTTAATTAAAACAGTTTGATGAGAAAAGAGCATCTTAGATCAGGATATACTGAGGACTGACAAAAAAAACCCAGAATAAAATAGGGTATCGTTGCTCTACTGCCTTTTTTTTTTTTAGTGCTTGTTGCTTTGTGCTACTCTTAACTCTTTTTATTTTTTATTGGTGCTGTTTAAGCCATGCCTCCACCTCCAGTCATGAAAGGACCTATTTAAAAGAAAACAGCTAGCCATCAAGGCTGCCAGCCTCGACTAGAAAGAGTAAGTTGGTCATATAACTAGTTAAGCAGCCGCATTAAATGCGGCCACATTAAATAGCCAGACTGACCAAATCTTAGCATTATTTTGTCTAGATTCTGACAGAAATGAAGTTCTAGATGTGAGGGTCTCCTCAAGACAACTTTCAGATTTTCAAGACCTGAAATCTAAGTGCAATGAAATACCAAAGACCACCTGAATAATCCAATAAGCGCCACCTTCAGTATTTCATTTAAAGACTTGTATGCACATGCTTTGGATTGGAATATTAAACTGCCTTCTAGTCTATGCTTTACAAGCTTCTAGTTGAAGGTCAAAACTAGAAACTGAAAGAGCAGACACAAGAGGCAGTAAACAAGAGCGAGCAATTCTGGCAGTGTTCATTTTTCCAGATATATTTGGCAGTAAAAGAAAGCCTATTCTAGCGGGATGATCCTTGCTTAGTTGTCAAAGACTCAAGGAGGCATTTATACCAAGTTACAGCTATTTCTGGCACAATTTATCAGTTTATGGCAAGCAAGATCATATAGGATGACTGGGTACATGTTTTTCTCATTTCAAAAGAATCTATTGTAGTGGCCCAAGAAATTGAGTAGAGATTTAGCCAAAACATTCCTCCAACCATAAATTTGGAAGCTGTAGGCAGTAATAAGAACAGAGTTTGGGGATAAAAGCATCGCAACAGACAGTGGCTGTTAAGGTGCACCTATGCTATCAAGATGCTACAAAACAGTTTTTAAGCACAAAGCTGGAGACTTGGAGGTTTCTTGTTATGTGAAAGACAAGCAGTTAAAAATCCTTCATGCTTTTTGAATATTTGACAAGAAACTCCAGGGTGATGCATGTCCAATAGCAAGGACATCTGGGAAGGTGAATTATGCCCCATTACAACTTTGATGGAAACATGAAAGCAGAGGAAAAGAGGTCCAAAGCAAGGAGGGGGTGGAGATGATAGCTTCAGGATCACAAAGAGAAAGTTAAGAATGGAATTAATTTCACAATTTTGTGTTCATGTTTGTGTTACAAACAGTTACATGGGCAAAATAATAGGCTGAAGAGCATGTTTTTCCTGGCAACAAGCTATTTCTGCTGCAGCTTGAAACTCAAGCAGACCCAGCCTAGTGTCGTTTTAGACAAACGAGGGTGAAGACGCCTTAATGGCTAAACAGTTTCCATTGCACTGCTTTAGAAGTGGGAAGCTCTACAAAAGTCCAAGTTCTAGAAGGAACAGAAAGGTATTTACATCACATATGCAAGTGGTCAACCCTCCTGGCCATGTACCTTTACCAGAGCTTCAAGTGAGCAAGAGACAAGACACCTCAAAGAGCTCAGATGACAAGTAGATCCCAAGAGGGAATGCGCAGGTATTCCTGTAATACCTGACAGGTCTGCTACAGACCCCACATCTGGAGGTAGGCAGTTTAAGGGCAAACAGCCCCAGCAACTCGTGAGCTTATTTCCTTGTGACGAAGTGAGACTAGCCAAATTAATGGTTTTGGGTTTCTCAGTACAGTCAGTCTGCTAGCCAGGTGATGTAGCCCTGGCGCACAAGCTGCGCTGCCTGCTTGCAAGCCAATGCTTCAAGAGCCAGAGAGGGGCTGCGCCTGGCTGAGGAGCCCCATTTTCCTTTTGGAAGTGTTTCCTACATGTTAGCCCTTCAGCAGCTAACCAGCGTAAAAGGCCAAACCATGGCAGAAACTAGACTTAGCGTCTACACGCCTAATAAGCTAACATTGCCCATGTGGTAACAATTATGCACACGTTGTACAGTTTACGTTCCAAAAACACTTACTCCTTTTGGAAAAAAAAAAAAGTACCCTTCTGGAATTGTATGAAGCAAAGAAATCTACAAGAACCAATATGGAAAACCTAACATTTATGTACCAAAATATTGGGTTTTTAAAATTAATTTCAAG